GAACGGGAATGTTATCTCGAGGGGAGGGAATTTCGGCAGGGGCGTGCCGCCTGGTCCTCCAAAGCTGACCCTATGTTAGACCAAAAGTTATTATTTTACACACCCACTTTAGAACTGACCCCTCAAATCCATTCCCGTTTTCATACCTACTCTCCTCTAGTTTTGTAGTAGGGAAATGGAGATGAGGTTAAGAGTTTGGTACCGGGGTGAAGAGTTGGTTAAGTCTATCCGAAAAAATATCTCGGTTATTTCCCTTTCTCTTGTATTCATTTTAACTTGATAAATAAAACACAATACTCATACTCTAAGATCACAATAACGGATATCTTTTCCCGGCCGTTTACAGACAAAACGGCACAAAACGAGTTACCCTCCCCCTCCCCTTAGTCGTAAACAGTCGCTTTCCAAAACTTCTTATGCTTCCAGCTTAACTCTGTTCTCCGAAGAAAATATTTTTAAGAATCATTCCGTGCCACACCTACGCTAATAGCAAAAACAGATCGCAGACATCAGCAAGGTTCTCATGGTGGGTCTAAATATAAAATGCTGCTATTACAAATCGATTAACCAGCTAAAGAAAGTCGTCTCATCTGCCAGCTACAGAGCTCTGCAGAATCAACAAAATATTGCGCAAAATTTCTTTTCACTTTGCTGGACGTTGCATTAAGTATGGCGGTATTTCACGAGCCCTGATCTTATAATTGAGCTTCCTATGCGTGCCAAGCGGTCGGCCTGGCTTAGATCTTGCTGTCTCCGACGCGGAGATTGCCTCACCTTAACATCGGCCGCGGCATCCGAAAGCAACTTTCCGTCAACATTTCCGGCTTCGATTTAGCGAGCTCTTGCAAGAATTCTAGCACTTTGAAGATCGTTATTGAAAAATTCCTAATCGTTTATAATCGTTAAAGGAAACGAAGCTATGGAGAAAATAAAGAACTGTTTTTTTCTGAACAGAAACATTTGAAAAATCTTGGTCTTGAGAACCAGAAAACCTTTGCAAGTTTAATGTGAGGCATCGTTCATATCAAAACCTTTACATTATATTCCTTTCTCTGATCCGAAGTAAGATAGATTTTACGCTACGAAATGCAAATTTCCCGTTCCATTATGCCTTATTAATCATTGTCATAGAAAATTTTGGGGTTACAACAAATATCCTAAGCTTGAAATGCTTTGTTATCTACTTCTCGTAAATCCGGGGCAGCAGCTCTCGCGATCTGCTATAGACAGCTTTCTTCAAAAGTCTGAGAAAAATCCGAGGTAAGTAACTCCTTTATTTCAGAGTTTCTTTACCCCTTTTTTTTCTGACTGAGGACAAGATTTGTTTATTTCGTATGGAATCCGACAAGCCTAGGATAGAGCTAGTCATGGCTAAACAAAAAACATGAAAATGATAATTTCAGATCTGATTCCTTCAAGAAACAGACGTTACCATTTCGAAGGCAAGTTTAAATTTTTCCACGTCAACTCAGCGAGCTCATGTGATGACTGAGTCATGCTTTTGACTTGATCCCCTGGTAGTCTTACATTAGTAACTCTGCAAACTTTACTCAAGGAACTGATATCCTTTCGCCTCAACTGACAATCAAATAGTAGTATTTTCGTCACTGCTGTGTTTCCTGCACAACAGATGTGACCAGAAGGGAACAATATACTTAGAATAAAACGTTTTAAACAATTCTCGGAACTGTGAGCGCCACTATTTGATTACAAAAGAGTCTGACCATAAGAATTAATAGAAGCAATATGACGGATTAAGCAAGATTGCATCGAGACAGGACGTTTCTCAACCGAAGGAAAAGGAACACATCATTGCCTTTTCAATATATATACTTGTTTTGTGAATAGCATTGTGCTGAAATCTTTCAAAAACTATCCAGTAACCTTGACATGCTGTGGCTTTTTTCTGCACATATATAAAGAACAAGCAAGGAGCGTTTGACATTCTTCACTTGATGCAGTCGGCACAAGATTGCGCTTCGCTTCAGTTTTCATAACAATGCACAGGAGTAATCTCAGAAGATCTTTTCCTACGTTTCCTTCACTTTACAACAAAAGGCTCCCTAGTTAGCTGAGCAAACGACTGCATGAGTGCTGAGCCCACTAAGCTTCATTCGGTTTTCTATCTGTGACGTTTGTATTACTGTCTGAGGTCGAGTGTGGCTCCTCTCGCAGCCGATCAGAACCTTTGAAGAACAAAGGGTTGTATACAGTTGAACCTCTTGCCCTAATAAACAGACAAAGACAGAAAGCTAAGTTAAAATAGTGAATGCTAAACTCCTTGTAAGCCAAACTCGTTTCATTCAACCCCTTTTGAGGGTTGCAACAAGCAGCCGAGTGCACTGGAATGTGCATCAGTACCAAAGATGGCAAACAATAGCGATCGATTCCGAAGGGTTTTCTCATGGTTCTCCAATATTCCTCCCTGCAAATTGAAAATCTCTCCAAACCCAAATTTTACTTGGAGAACGGATGACACGAAAAGCTCCTTCGTGATGGTGCCACTGCTAAAATCCAAAACATATTTCATGCCATGTCTGCTCTGAATCAAGATTGTACAAACTCTAATCAGTTCACCACTTAATTGTTACGGCAGTTGAACGATAAAATGTTATACTAAAGTCGCCATTCGTGTGACAAATTAAAACTTTGGTAAGTTTCAGCCCAGCCAGTTTATATAATTCAGATTCGGTACAAACCAACAACAAGAATAAATCAATTAATCTCCGCCTTAAACTATAGTTTAAGTTTATTACTTAGAGTCACCCATCTAGCTGCAAGCGAGGCGTAATTTTGCATCACTTTCTATGATTCCTGAGACGGACTCAATGAAAAAGGATATTTATGGCTCAATCTAAATGGCAAAAGTTTTCCAAATGCGTGAAAAATAACTATGGACGGATCCGTGAGTTCTCCCTCTAATCTTAGGAATACCACACACTGTGATCAAATAAAATGGACAAACTTTGGCGTCCAAATAAATTGGTACATGGCATTACAAATTGCGTTATAGGCTCACTCTTTTCCAAGACTCTGCAGACACAACACTGGGAAATCTTCACAGCTGCCTGTTTGTTTCGTGCACCCTAAAAGAAACATGGATAATTTACCTCTTATCTCAGTTTCGGTACTTGACCATCAATCCAAATATTTGCATTGCTTTTTAGGACTTGTCCCTGATTTCTTCGTACGTTTGCTTTGCACTTTCAAACAAGAAGTTCTAGCGAACCGTATTCCACTACAAACAATACTTCTATTTAGGCGCTTCCCGTAGAATCTAAACGCAGCTCGAGTAATTGTATTTTTTGTAAATTCTTCGCCTGAAAGTGAAATTAATAAGTTTTGTTTGTAAATAAAACATGTCATCGAATGAAACCTTAACAAAATATTTTTATTCGACCATCTTATCCACGTAAAAGTTTTCATAAATGATGTATGGGTGTCAAGTCGGATTTCGTGTAAACCAAGTGTCAAGTGCTCTTAATACGTCGGCGAGGTTGTTGAAACACGGAGAATTCTGCTCCACATAAGGAACACATTAGATACAAAGGAATATTTTAATTAGTTCGGATAGGGAAGGCGGCGTGAAGCAATATGCATAGACTCTAACAGTGCGGCTTGTTGAAACTCAGGCTTAAGATCGCTATCAACTTATGAGGGGCCGATGAAATCCAATCTAGTGGCGATTAAAAGATTTTACCACATGCCATTTGCTTTTAATTAAAACTGGAAAAGTTGAAAAGCAATTAGATAAGAATTCTGTCAAGATTTTACGAGCTTTCCGCCCAGAAATTGAGTCTGGTTTTCCGAAGGGTGGTCTGAAATGTAAGAATTGCTTGCCAAACGCACGAGTTTGTGTCGTTACAGTAATTCTCTCATTGCTTCATTTAGTTTCTGTCCACACAATAAATCCGTTGTTTGTCTGACCTACTATCAACGAGGCCATTTTCCAAAGGAAACAGCACTTAGAAGCCACTTGGCGGTCAGAAGTTTGTCAAACATACTTACAAAAATTTAAACAGAGCTACAAAATAAAATCCCCCAAATATTTGTGATGATCGCCACGTTCAAGTTACCAAGAAAGGAGGTTTTTGAATTCACGTGTGTACCCTTAGAAAACTTTTTACGCAAATTTCGCGACCGTGGTCCGACGTGAGCTACAAAGTTGTGTGAAAAGAACATCTTTATTATTGGACACTTTCTGATTGCAAAATAAATGCTACATTATGTACATTTGACCAGCTTATTTAATTTTTTTAACTGGAATCTCAAGAAAAAGTCAAAACTCCAACCTAAATTATATAATGAAATCTCAAAGACACCATTACAGCGGATTTGTTGACACCAGTGTGAGGTCTTACTTCGGCTTGAACCACGTATGACTGTCTTTTTTACACGCCCCCTCAGGAAAAACCACTCGTGGAATAAAAACCGTCCACCGGGTTCGTCTACATAGCACGTTTAAACGCGCGCACAAAATCTAACTATGTCAATCCGTTGTTTTTCTTTTACCTCTGATAAATAAAACTAACATGTACGAATAAAAAACGCATTAGCACCGAGTAAATGAATGATTCAGTGATGCGACAGCAGAACAGAAGAGTTGTACCACCGTTAATGCGTAAAACAGCTGAAAAGTTCGCGGCACATTAAAGAGAGACCCAAAGGAAAGAAATATTATCAGATTATACCGGGTGTTTGTTTTGATTGTCGCTTGAGAGTTCGAGACAAGCCGACGAAAATAAGGACACAAACTCACCTTCAAGACAATGAAAATTTTATCCTAGCTGAAGCCCTTTTTTTCCATGGAACTACAGTGAGGCAAGCTACAATTCCAAAATATTCCCTGCGAGGAATGCTGTAGGTTACATTTCTATTAGTACTGCAGCGACAGACAATGACTCGTATCGATTACACATTCAAAAGTAGCGGCCCGATATCACTTTCGACCCAAGCAGCGACTGCGCGATAAATGTGCTTCTGAACGCGCTTGATGCAAATCGTGTTTGTCTGGCGAGCTCGAGGAACTGACCAGGAATAGCCAAAGGGACAACTTCATATGATGTACCCACGAGGATTCAACTACAACAGGCCTCCGTACCCTGTTGCGCCACACGAAACACACAATCCGCCACCGTTGTCGCACCCTCCGTGTGTGTATGGTCCCCCTTCTCGTTTCTCCTATAACGCATATCCAACAGTGTCTAGCTATCAGCCCAGCAGTTCAGCCTCCTATAGTCACATCCCACCGCAGCTCACGCACTATGCAGACCCAAGATACATGGAGATGAGTCCCAGAGAGGAAGCCCCAGTGTTGCACCATCTTCCACAGCAGCCAAGCACGTTGGATCCTCGTCCGGAACACCCGCATCAAGTCATGGAGGGTTCTGCACAGTTACTGCCGAGCTGTGAGCAAGGTAATCAGTTCATATGATGCTTTCATCAATGTTTTTTAAAGATCACACCTTCTTAAGTGTTATTATTGCGATTCAAGTATTTATCACGTTGAGTGGCACCTACTTCAGATGTGTTTGTACGTTCATTAACTTGCAAATCGTATCATAACTGCGAGCACTTCGATTCGGTCGTCGCTGAAAAACTGTCAACAGTTCGTAGCCGGATTCTCCATATCTTTCTCAATGTATCCCTGGATAACAAAATGATTCAATCTCCTCTGTAACTCAGCTCTTGACCACAAGCGTAAATATCAGCACTTAAAGGAAATGTGCTATGTACTTTTAGATAAGAATGAGTTGATCCCTATTTGGTGCTTGGTGAAGTTTATATTAAAACTTTGGTTGAACTAGATATGGTGTAGAAATGAATGTCTTGCTTTTCAGGGAAAATCTAAGAAATGCAATCCTGTGCGAAAGTATTTCATTCCTTTCTTCATGTATCTATAAAGATTATTAGAAAATACTGCCATAGGAGGAATATGCAACAAAGTTGAGCAAATTTATTTAAAGAATGTCTTTAGGGTTGGTATCTTCTAAATCTTCTCCCACCATTTAGTGTCAAGTGCTTCTCCCTCGACTTACTTGTGTAAAAATGAAACTGCTCACTATCAGTGGTATATGCTATCACTCATTGATCTTGGAATCTGTCTTCAAACTGGTTGTTACTTAGTTTGTTTAAAGAATCTTTGAAGATAAGTGCTAAAGAACATCAACATATGACCAAGCTATGGGGCTGGATCTTCAAGTCCCGTGTGCATCTCGATTGCCACGACTTTATAAACTGACAAATTGAACTAAAGATCATTTATGATAAAATGGAGATTTTGGCTCCATCGATATCTACTTCCAAGGTCTTTGGGATATTCCCTTTGACTATTTTTTAAGCAAGACACTTGAGGTTTTTGTTAGTCATTTCCCAATAACAAGGAGAAGCGTTTTGAGATAAGGATGAATTTTGGCAAAATTAACATTTTAATTAGCTTTAGTCGTTAAGCTCTAAAACGACGTCATTAAGGTAACAAAAAACACTTTGGTTGGGAGAAAATGCACCGGAATTTCTGAAGAGATAATAGATTCACCAAACTTAGGAGCTAATGTGGAGGTGCACCGTATCTTGGGTTTTGATCAGTTTCGGGGTAACTCAGCTCGTAAGAGCGTGGATTTTTTTATTTCGACTTTTTCGCTTACTCATTGTCGCTGTTGCCATTGGTTTTTGCCGAATTATCCAATATTTCTACATAATTAACTATCCTCTTTTAACCCCCTGTTGTGAGTTTAATTCAGTAAGATTGATCTTGTTCACAAAGGTGTCATTTAGAAGAGGGTGGTGATTAGAGCTCTAGTTGGAGAGTTGTTGAAGATGAGATTGTAAAGGATTAAAGAGTACTAAATAGATAAGCATTTGGTAAGTAGGTTTTGGGTCCTTTGGCAGGTTAGTGTAATAACTCTCCTTCCTCTGATTCTCGTGTCTTAACCGCAATAACCCACACAAAGCTTGCGCTAATAGCAAACAAGATGATTACATAGTTGTGGTCTCCACAGCGGTGTTTGGAATCCTAAACTACTGACAAGCTTTGCGGATGAAATCTTTGGCCGCGACCAACAAGTCGTAAATCTGGACTAACAAGTTACAAATAGAGAAAAACTTTGGTGTGCGTATACAGTTGTACTCGTAGAATTACGTTCCTCCATTATTAAAACCATATTTTGTTTCGAGTGCAGATGAAGGAAAGAAGGTGCATGATTCCTTCGCTCCTGTTACGTCTTTATTTACGACACAAATTTGAGTATTCTCGATCGATTAAATCTCTGTCATTAAAGCCGCGGGTGAGGAGTAGTTAAACTTGTCCTACAAGTTTCAAGAAGACCTCGGTTTGTATCGTGGAAATATGTTTTTTCATTCATCACTGACCGCTTTCGTTCTGCAATTCTTACAAGGAGGTAGTAAGAGAGTTCTCTCTTCTCAGCCATCCTCTTACTTCAACAAAAATGTTTATCAATTCATCAGAAAACAATTTTTTAGAGAGAATTGTTACTATATTAATGTTGAATTCTCTTCACAAACCGATTTGTGTTAATCACAATTTTAACTTGTTGCCTCTACTTTTCGAAATCGTGAAAGAAACTAGACACAGCAATTACTACATTTACTACAGGCTATTTTTCAACCAACACACCGTTTTTTGCTGACACAAACAGAATTAAATGATAAAAGCATTTTTGATCTCGCACAAGTAATTTTGTAAATGTCGTCTCCACAGCCAAATTTTGTGAACGTGACCACAGTGATTCATAAAACTATAATTAGCACAATTTTCCTTCAGCATCATTTGCAAAACTCACATGGCAAGATATTTTACTTGTTTCTATGGTTCATGATGCCAACATTTCAATGCATGATTCTGGCAGTGAGGATAGCGGCAGCAATTGGAGATCCAAAACTGAGCCGCACACCTCAAAGAGGCTGAAGAACAGACGCTTTGTTCCAAAGGAAAATTGAAATAAAAGCAATCTCCAACTACTAAGAATTTGTTCCTATAAGTCAGTTCAATGCATTATGGAGGTTTATTCTCGACGCTAATTAATCAGATGGGGATAAAATCATGAAATTTTCCCAGGTTTTAGACCTGATTCTCCGAAATGGAAACATATCACTAATACCATTGCACGAGCTTACCGAAAGGGAGTGTTCCGCAAAAACTGCGCCAGAAGGTCAAAGAGTGCTAGGCGATAGCCTCTTCGGTAAGAAATAAAGACAACCTTAATATTTTCCTCCCTCTTACCGAGGGGCTTCATTAATCACCATAGTGAAAAGCAGAAATTCATGGAGCTTCTGTTAAACCTTAGTGAGTCTGAACTTGCCCCCTTTCAAGAAAACACATACTCATTATGGTAAACTGGTCACTTGTCGAAATACTTGGTTTCTCGGTTCCAATAATTTTTGTAGGGATCCATTGCTTCTATGGTGAGGCCGACGAAATTACACCTAAATGAGAAAGTGGGGTTTTTCTACGTAATGCGCCCAACGACATCTCAGGGCAGTAAGGATAACAAGGCGTAGTTGCATTCTTCAGGAAAAGGTCACGAATCGAGCGTACTTTGTACTTTAGTTACTCACTTCCTGAACCCTTCAGTTTTAAATCATTCCATTTCCTTGCCTCGTTCTTCTAAAAACCCTCTTTTTGCTCAAAGAGGACTGCGACTCAAAGTGAGTTCCCGAACTGAAGAAATTCTCGAGTATTTAGCATTCTACTATTTTCAAACTTGACAGCGAGAGCGTAGTTGTAAAGAGCCCTTCGTCCAATACATTAGAAGAGCTACAAATTTCCTGTTCTCTCCAGTAGTTTATCAGCTCTTGTTTCAAGAGAAAAGCTTTGATATAACTGAGAATGAAGAGGATTTTAGTCTTGATGAAGATAAAAAAAAAAAAAGAAAGAAGAAGAGAGGTCGTGAAGGATGCATTGTGACTAAATGGCTCGAAGTTTGGTACAAACTTAGATCAGTCTTGCTCTATTAAGAATGCTTGTTACAGAGCTCCCAACCTGACCATAAATTCAAATTTTGTTCTTCTTTTACAAAGACTCTCATCATTGAAGCTATTCTAATAGCTAGCTGGAAGATCTCAGCCAAGTTCATCTGAGCTTGTTAGGGAAGATCTCCCTGTAGTCAGTAAGTTATTCTTAATGAAAGGATTTAAATTCTTCTGGCGTATTCTCTTCGTCCGGGACGTAACAGTGTTTACTTAATTGAAGAGTTAATTTCAGAAGATTACATTCTAAATTTCCTGTGCTGTCTTCTTTTCAACAGCAAAGGCCGGAAAAACCACCGGAAAGAAAAGGAAAGAAAGAACAGCTTTCACTAAACATCAAATACAAGAACTGGAAAATGAATTTCAGAGGAATAATTACTTAACCAGGCTCAGACGATACGAGATCGCGGTGAGTTTGGACTTGACAGAAAGACAAGTTAAGGTCTGGTTTCAAAATCGTAGAATGAAGTGGAAGAGGGTGAAAGGAAAACGGTTGGAAAAGAAAACTCCGGTATCAAAAAGATTGAGCACAAGTTCAGACGAAGAGAAACCGATAATGTAAATAAAAAAAAGTTATGCACTTTTTTAACATTTAGACTCCCAGAACCGGTTATGAGACGTTTCATATGAAAGAAAAAACGTAGGTCTGTGTAAAGAAGGTATATAAGGAAAAGCCCAGAGTCTTCGCCCTGACACTACTTTTGAAGTCGAACATGATCAGAAATTAAATTGTTCTGATCTGCAAACGGAACAATTAAGTCCGTAGCTTAGTGTCTCCCATTGAAAAATTGCTATGGTTGTGTTCTTTCATAAAGCGTTTATTTTGGAACTTGATAGGCTGATAACCACAATTTGAAAAATTATAACAGCAAGAGTTATATAAATATTCGCGTAAAGAAAAGCAGACAAGAATATGAGTCGCAAACTTTTTCAGTTTTCATTTTTTCACTTTTCATCGTAGCTTCATTTGTTCTTTCGACGGTTTTGCAGAGTTCCACGAAATCATTCATTGAGCTGGTCTTGAAATATTGTATGTGATACAATCATGAATCTGTTCTCTCGAAATTTAAGTATGGATCAGTCATTAAATCTCAAGTTAACTAAAACAGGTCATATGGATTGTCTTGTTGAGTAAGTTCGATGAAATGCCAACAAAATGACACGTCTGGACTCTATGCTTGTGTTCCACATCCGTTCGGGCCTTACCTACATGAAAAGCTATTAAAAGTGGATTGTAGATAACTTAAGGCCTCACGTTTTTATTAAAGAGAAGTTTGAAAAGTGCTTTTCAAGCCAATTTCTTTTACGCGAAAATTTTGGGGGTGTCTCTGGCAGAAGATATCTTGTCTATTTATTCGGTGTTCGAGGAAGATTTTAACAACGTATTTGCAAAAGGAAACGCAAAAGGGTCAGGACGCGCTTTGATTTCGCGCGCTTCAAGAAGGCAAATGCATCAGTGGAGCTGCAAAATATCTGGTAAGATATTAGATAAGTAACTGTGAAACAATCGGATCCATTTATAGTTTGGGCAACATCCTGCATCAATCGAAATCATTGAAACAACAAGCTGGAAGATTAGTTCCTTTTATCAATTCGTTCTTAAAAGAAAAAGACACATGTACGAAGGGAGGATCAGTTTGGCAAACATATAATGTCAACTAATTCTCAATTTTCAATCCACGTACAGGAAATATCATGACCACGATTTTTTAATGAAAGATCGAGACACCTATGAAAAGTTATTTGATGTTGCCACTCCTACCTCTTCCATAATTGCTTACTTGTATAGTGTGAGAAACAATTTTCCATCTTATTTGATAGATACATTTTCAAATGCAGTCTTGTCCACTTTACTAAATTCAGTAAGGTCTTTTTTAAAAAATATGTATTTATTTATCCTCATCACAAGAGTAACAACAACAAACACCAGGATGTCTAATTACAATTAAAGATTGCATTCTATGATGTGGCTCTTACACGCTTAAGCAAAAAGAAAAAATAACAATTGCATCCAATAGTAATACAAAGAGATACACCAACAACAATGTTGAAGCTTTCGGGGGGTAAATAAACACGTTATAAAAAACACACTGTCCATATCCCAGTTTTCTTCACATTAGAGAAACGGACTAAATCCATATTGCTAGTTCAAGATTTAGCAGCGATAAGCTAAATCGTTTGCTCCATATTTTTGGAAAATGAGAATGATAGCATAATTATAACTCAGTGACCTCTCGAATCAGAGGGCCAGATGGTGTTTCAAAGATATCAATTTTCCGGCGAAGTAACCTATTGCAAGCCCATCAAGAATCTTCAATTTTACGAAGAATTAGTTGTGTTGCCAAAGAGATCTGTTCCCCATTGGACAGGTATCCAACTGTTGTCACATCATCTTCAGCGCAATCAGATGGAGGTTGCACCAAAACAAACATAACTAAGTACATGTATCGAAATATGTATTTACCTCATCACTCAATGTATTTTCGAAGACGACGCTGTTTGTATGGTATGGCAGAACTCCCAGAGACAGCCGAGTGAGGCAATGGATGCTTCAGCCCTAAGAGAACTTTCCAGTCTAGCCGATGTACTAAAAATAATAACATCTTTTAAGAACCAGCTGTCAAAACCGGTCAAAACTGTCAATGTTAACAGAGGTTTTCAGCTTCAGAGGTCTCTCTAGGCTTTTAAAAAAAACATGAGCATGAGAATGGTGGATACAATTTAGGAATTGCTCGATCTGGGAAGACAGCACTTATTATTAATGAAATAATTCTCTTAATAAATCGACCAGTTTGACTTGCCATTTCTGACTAATACCAAATGAACAAATGGCTATTTTTTTCTAAGTTTTTTCCACGCTATGCTTTCTTTTTTGCTCGAGGAGTGAACCTGGCTTCATAAGCACGTCAACAAAAAAAAAAGTAATGATAGACACGCACGCACGCAAGCACACTTTCATCCTCCAGGGCAGTCCTGACCATACTCCCTTAGCTGGTGAAACTATTGTTGATAGAACTGAAATCATATTTCCGTTGCTGAAAGTTGTTGATCACGTACCAAATTCAAAGACTACAGCGTTTCTGATCAATCCAGTAACGAAAAACCGTTCGCATATTATACTCATTGCTCGCCACAAATAGAGCAAGATTGGTTTTAACCCTAAAGATTTACTTGAAGATCTCTAAGCTCACCAGCTACGCCAAAAGAAAGTCAAATCAGTAAACGTGCTTTTTAAATCACATTAACAGAAGGGTCATCCGAAGTTTCTCGCAAAACTATAAACAAATAGGGACCTAAATGGAGAAGGAAAACCAGGTCGTATATCGTTCTGACTGACAGGGTGGCAAACCAGTCAAGACTACACCTCTTTGAAGAGTGGACACAAGGGAATCAATGTTTGTCTTACACTAGGCATACGGCAGTCTACTGGTTATCCTTTTCGAAATCATCGTTTGATGCTGGCGACAATCGAGCCGCCTTAATTTTTAATCTCGGTACGCGACTTCAACTTAGTTCTTGATGTGAATAAACATACCAAGAAGATATTCAATGAACTGAATATGGGCGAGGTACTGTCGTTATCATGTGAAATTAAATACGCAATTAAACGCTCAGAAACAAGGTATTTTTGGCCAGTTCCTTTTCGACGGGCTGTTTTGAAACTGAACAATTACGTACGATAAATGTATTTAGGAGCGCATACAGGGAAAAGGGATAAAATGACTTTTGTCAATAAGGGTGATAATCGGGGTTAGCCATCGGTAGCCAACAATACATATCACAAAAAGACACAATAAAAGCTCATTAATAACCTTACTATAATGATCGGAAAACGCCGCACGAAAAGTTTGACATACCGTCAGGTCAGACGCAAAAAGGTTGTTCTATACACAGTGGAAACCACAAGTCACGAAAGTGTTGAGACAAATAAAGTTATCAATGGGACCTCTGACTTTTGGCAAAAGTGTGAAATTCTCGGAGATTAGCGGTTTGGAGGAATCGATAATCTCTTTGTTAGGCAACACGTGTTTTCATTCCTACTCGTGACCAAACAAGTTAAAGACTTGTGAATAAATAGAGCAAAAGAGAAGGTAATTTCGGAGCTTGGTTGTGAAATGAAGATAGATGTGCCCTTCTACTTTTGGAGAGCACGGCACAGAAGAAAAAAGATTTGAATAATTTGAACAATCGCACCTCAGACCTTCGGATTCCGCACTCCGATGCTCTGTATGATGAGTTAAACCACCATCAGTTATTGGTTCATGCGTATTGAAAATTAATCTATCAAGACTTTTCAGGGATAGCACGTGGTACCCTACGCAATTTGAACGTGCTGATCTCGTAAATTTTAAACGTTGTGCTTTGACATCGCGTAACAAGGCAGACAGGCATGGCCTTGAGTGATTTTAACACAGATATCAAGCTCAGAAAGATGGTAAAATTTGGCGTCGTTAATGAGATAAAGCGGGCTATATTTTCGTCTTGCCTCGAGCTAGGGATAAACAGAAAATTCTGAGATTTCTTTCTTTGTCCCGTCGTTGATAAGGGAAAATAAATGGTTTGCAAGGAGTGTAACACTACATACCCTAAGTTATGTTTGCAATTCCATCTTTTATAAACCTTTCAAACCAGCCGATTTTATCACTGACGACCCTTTCCGCTGATTGAAAATTTATAAAAACATACTTTACCTTGATTTCCGGAGGTAAGCACGTGCCTACGTGCTCGTATGGTCGCTTCACCTCATTTGCGTGTCTAAGATACATGTAAAGGATTGTCAATGCGATGTAGTTTATCGACATCGACTGATTATAAAACTAAAGTTAACTTTGCAAAGAAAAAAGTTACCCCTGGGTTCTCTGGCAGCAGCAGATAACATAATTCGAATTCCTATACATTGCTGCGTACATCTGCGGCATAACAAGGTGAACAGTTTCCAAAGTAAATTTGAGAAAGATTATGTCATACAGAGTCCTTCAAGGAATTTGAACGATGTGCTAAACATTTATTCTATTTTCAACTTCGGAAGATCACAACACTTTGACTGTTTGCTAAAAGCTACACTTCGATCAGCAGACTAATAAGGAAATACGTTAGACCCTTTCATAGGTTGGGAAGCTGCAACGTCACACTTCACTAAATTGGGTTCTTAAAGTTTGAGAAAAAGCATGAAAGAGTTTTTAACTCCTTTAAGATGTCTACGTACAACGTAAGGTCGGAAATGTCTCCATATAGAGCGTGGCGTCGATAATTTTCGACTGCCATGAAAATTAGAAATTAGAAAACTGGAATGTTTTACCACGATTTGATCCAACCAAAACAGTGGGCTGATTTGGATCAACGGCTGATCAAGGCATAAAAAAAAAAACAGCACATCGTAACACCTTCGTTATTTTAGACTAAAGTGATCCTAAAGTTTATTATTTGTTTTAGATATGTGAATAAAGGCGAAGCGGTTGTTGATTATTTATGATTTTCGACAACACAATTATCCTATTTAGAGAATCTGTCAAACCAGGATAAAAAATGTTCTATTCTGACATACATTGCTAAAAATATGAATTCGAAAAACACCAAAACTTTGACATTTATATAAAATTTTAAATGAACTGCGATTCTGACCAATCTTCACTACGGTGTTCTGTCAGCCACGTGGTGGAGTCTACTCTGAAATACTGAGCTTAAGTCCCTCTTGATTTGATTAGCATTGGAAAATGCTGTTTGAATTGCAAGTAAGTCTTACGGTCACGAAAGAGGCAAACTAGTTTTAACTTGTAAGGTTCGGAAAAAACTCCATCCCATTCATATCATGTTATACTTTGAGATAAGATAGAGAAACTATACCACTGAATTACGATCTTGAGTTCTATTTCATGATTTACGCTTCCTCCTTATTCTTACGAAATGAAGCAGTCTTTCACAAAAGATTTATACCACGGAGTAATTTAGATGGTGTGGCAAAAGGGCGTCGCCCCGACACTCGCGCCAGCCTGTTTTTCAACCGCGGACGGTTACTTCCTTGTTCCGTCTGTCTCAGTTGTCTTCACCGGTGTTTCGCTGGTTTTCTTTTGCAATTTGCCGCGAGCCCAATCAATAAGTATTTTCCAGCGGAAGCTCTGAACAAAATCCCGGACTTAACAGTGTTAAGCTGCCGGTCACACATTGAGTCGTGGGTGATGCTTCCTCTAGAAGTCATGAAAGTGCAACAGATTACCGAAGTCAATGTGTCATCAAAACTTTCGCGTAAATAAAAGGGGTTTATCACCTCAGCCACATGGACTAGGCGGTCTTTTATTGAAAAATAATTCCACGGAAGGGGGTGGGGAGGTGGAAGGGGAGGCGAGAGGGGGGGGAGGGGTAAGAATACAACTCAGAATTCTTGGCAGAGGTATGCCGCCAAGTTGTACAAATTATGTCGAACCATAGCATTTTCTCGGCCGTTTTCAGACTTGGCCCATGAAACTCAAGCGCGTTTTAGACCTGTCTTGTAAAGTAATTTATTTTTCGAATACATAACGCTTTGTTGTACGGTTATTAAGAGTGACTGTGTGTTGAGGTCAAGAATTGGTAAAACTCAGCTTGAACACTACACTTTAGTCCCTTCTCTCTCCATCACCATAAGTTTGGAGTTGAAAAGACAACTGAATGCGTTTGTATGCCCCCATGGTTCTTTTGGTTGACTAGTAAAGTTATTGACTATTCAAAATCTAGTTATTGATTAGTCAAGATCTAGTTATTGACTGGTCAAAATCTTTACCCGTTTTCAGACCTCAACCTATCAAGGCTATAAACGCGACTATCCCTCCCCCTCCCGCCCAGTCAAACCTGTCCCTCTTCGTTTTTTGGTCAACCGTTCTTGAAGCTTGTTGGGAATGTGAAGAGTTACGAGCATAAAAGATATTATCCACAAAGAATGGAAAACTCCTTCTAAAGAATCACGTAAGACATTCATAACCAGCAATTCTCAAATCCAGTGACACGATCTGGTCCATTTTATATTTCTATATGTTAAAAGACCTCTTAAAGTTAATTGCAGATGCCGGGTTAGTGTATGTCAGTTAGGCACTCAAAACAAGTAGAAACCAATGACCGAAATTAATCAACACAAGGGTTGAACGATTTTCGCGGTTCAAGACATTTTCCAGGACCGGGACGGCTTGTGTTCCTTTCTATCACCTTTCATCAGTGGCAGATTTATCTCAATTGTGATTAGAAATAAAAGGAGCCGGCGATAAACAGGAAATTTTGGCGACAAAAATCTGCGAAACGAACGCGTGACAAAAACGGAAACGCTACTCACTGTGTGGGTTCGCTACCCTCTCGCATTTGGGACAATTCTGGTGAATGGCCACTGTTTCTAGATTTGTTTCTGGATGAGTGTTGAACACCTCCGCTTTCAAATTTCCATCCAGGACTAAAGTGAATTCAATTTATTTCGAACCGTACACACATACAGACGTCGGCATAATTCGAAACTGTCTTCAAGGTTTTTATAATGCCATTAACAGTCATATCAAGTGTTTTCAAGAGTACTATTTCAGACGATGTCCGGTCATAAGATATCCCTCTTGAAATAAAACTAAAGTTGTCTCTATTTCGTACACGTAGTCACGTCGCTTATTGCTGTAATTCCTAATTGGACTTGTGTTTTTACAAAGAGAAAGGAGAGTATTTTTCTTGTCACTTTAACGTTAGTACGTGACGTGCAGCTCCTTTCTGTCCTTTAGTTGTCCCGCGGATAAATATTTCCATATGATGGGAAGCTGTGCAGGGTTTCGGCGGTTTCTTTGTAGTTTTGAGTGCATACAACTGTGTCAAACTGTTTTGCCGTTCCTGGGCTTTGTTTCTCGCGGGTCAAAGTGTTGCAAGGAGGTATCAAAGTTTCGCACGTCTGAAAATGTCCCGTTTCGTCGAGCTTGTGAACGATACTGTGACGGGAGAAACGAGAATTTCAGTGTTAATGGCTGTAAAAAAGGTGTCTGCGTGGGAATTTACCGCGCTAGGAAAAAAAAGGTTTACTAAGTAAATAAACACTGCTAATGGATTGCCTTTTACATAAACAGTCTTCAATATTTGTAGAACAGCTGAAAATAAAACAATTGAGCTTGATTCGAAAGTAATTAGCTAAAACACACAAAGTGAGATTCTCAAGAGCGTCCTTGAGAAGTGAGACATGATCTAAACACGGTGAACGCAAAATGGCGGCGGTTGTAGTAATTTCCGATATTTCAGGATCCCTCACTCCCTCCTATCTGCTAAACGTTAGTACCGAAAATACAACGCTTTGGGCTCTTCCGACGGCAAACAGCCGCGTTTTGATAGACACCTCGGTATATTGGTTGCAAACTTCAAAGAAAGCGACTGGAAGTCGCACAGTGTAGCTTTCCATGTGATGACAGATTCCCACAAAGGGTGGGTTATTTAAGAACTGCCGCCCGACAAACCAGACGTAAATCGTATCGTCCAGAGCCATCATAAATATGTATGAGTTTTACTCCACAAACTTTAACTATCAGCCGCCGGCTTATCCAAATCCTTATGCCTATAACGGGCCTGATATGAATTCATCGTGTGCACACCGGTTTCCAGGCTATGGGTTCCATTCTCCAGGCCCAATACACACAACTGCTGCTGTACCAAGCTACCAGCCTTGTGAGCGAGTTTCGAACGTCTCAAGATTGGAGAGCGTGAGAATGGCCAACAACACGCCCTTGCGTTCAGATTTCTGCACTAAAACGCTGCACCATTTTCCACCCACTCCACCACCAAACATAAACACCATCAACTGCAGCGATGAGCCGCTAAAGAAACAAAGCATGGATAAAATGCTTGAGGACAGCGATGAAGGTAAGACAAGCTTCCGTGTGTGTTCCATCGATGACGAAAAGTTCTTTCTCTTGCCTTAATATGAAATGACCGATTGAAAACGGCTTTACGATTTAATTGTTTTTATAACTCGACCTTGTGAACTATTGATTGAATATTCTGAACTAGGAAATGAGTTTTTAATACTGCTAGCACTCCGTCTCAGAGAACTTTGGGTCTACAGTGCTGTCTGAAATTTCGTGCCACATGATCAAGGTCCTGTATCATTGAAAGTGTTGCTCGTTGCCAAGGCCAGAGCAAACATGGGACAAAATTACGCTGCATTAGAAAATTAGACATTATATCACCATTAACTGACAGCAAAGGTAAGCTCGAGTATAAAATCAATAAAGTGCGCACTCTTTTACCGAAAGCAGTCGCGTTTTCCAGGAATGCATTATTACTTCAAACAATGAAATGTAACTAGCCTTTATAGTCTTTTGTTCGTGTTGGTTTTTCCCCATACCAAAAAGAAATGGAAGAAAATAGGATAAATCAGCCCGCCTTAATCCCGCGACTCAATCAGCAGGGTGTGCAAAAGTCTGACAGAACTATGCTTTGATCCTGCGAAATGATTTGATTCTCTTCTACTGTACGTGTCTTTAAACCCTAATCTGCTGTAATATGGCAAACCGTTTGAAAATCCATCTAGTTTCTTTTTTTGGCAACGTTGTGTGGACTTCTTGAGAGTGACAAAAAAAAATTCTAAAGAATCACCTGACCACCATTAAACAAGTGACAAGTACACAAGGTTGATCCACTCCATACACCAAAGATAACTTATTTTTAATTTCGTCCAGTTCGGGAACAATTAAAGGACCAGATTTTACTACAAACCAGCTCTAGCGAGTTCGCATTTCAATGTGCTGCAGATATTTCGTCTCTTGAAGCTGTTTACTTGAGGAAATTGCAACTGTGCGGGCTGAAAATTATGACACCGCTAGCGGGCGTCATGAACTTTGACTATCAAACGTGATGAAACAGGACGTCCTTCAATATTTTCACAATGCTTTCTCTTTTCAAGTTCTATATCCTGATAACGCCTGAAAAGTATCACCTGCACTGGACACCGAGTTTTTCTGATCGGGTTTGCCTTTGCGTTGACGGAAAGAAGGCTGCGATCTATCCTAAACCAGACTTCTTGACTACATGTCGGGACTCGAAATAGAACTTAAAAAATGCCTTTTTTATCTAATTCTTTGCAGTGAGAACGTGAGAAATTAGGATATGACGTGTTACATTTTTAATCCCACTAGTTAACAAATTGAATAATTAGAAACTAAGGCCTACAGGATTGGAATATCAAAGAAACAAAAAGAAACCCCGCAGGCGAAAATGTCGGCTCTTTTTAAATAAACTGCACGAAATACAGGTCTAAACAGAATCTTTAGATCTATTAAAGATTAAACTGTGGGAACTTCCCATTTCTACGGATGGTCGATATTTTCAAATATCTGCAATGTCGCACGAAAAGAATGATCACATTGAGTTCAAACCTTAATCATTTAAGTGGATTCATAGGTGTGTATCACTGATTTACTTTCAATTCTGCATTTCAGCTTGTGTAATATTTTGAAGAATTGTGTGATAGTGTAAAGCATTACAGAGGAAAAAAACTTCAAATACGGCATACCTACGCAAAAGGCAAAGTAAAATATTCCTTAGACCTCTGCTCCTTTTAAATCTACACGATAATAAAATTGTATAACAGGTCGAAGGTTCTTGAAAAAGCAATATTTCCAAGTAGAGCTACCAGGCGTAGATCACGATTTAGGCTGAAACCAAAAATTTTCATCCAAAATATAAAACAAACGACAATGTGGATGTCGCGTAAAAATTAATAGAATTGCCTTTTTCAACTGGGTGAAAACAGTACTTCGTGAAAGAAAAGCTCTGAAGCTTTCTCCTAATTACGTAAGATGTCTTCAGACAGTGTGTTTGGTTTTAAAAATTTCTTTCTTTCTTTTATTTCATATGATAAAATAGAAGGTTCCAAAAACAAGGCAAGGAAGGAAAGAACAGTATTCACAAAATATCAGCTACACGAACTTGAAAAAGAGTTTGGCCGAAACAACTATTTAACCAGACTGCGTCGATACGAAGTGGCTGTCAGTTTGGACTTAACAGAGAGACAAGTGAAAGTATGGTTCCAGAACAGAAGAATGAAATGGAAAAGAGTACGAGGAGGAATACCCCCCAAGAAAACTGCTTATGCGGATCAAATGGATCTGGCAATTTATTGAACAGTGGTACGAAAGATTCTAATTTTTCGTCATAAAGTTATTGGTGCAAACTTAAAACACTGTAAGGTCTATTGATCAAGAAATTATTTGCCTTTTGTTACCAAATGTTATGAAGGAATTTTTCTTTGAGTTCATGTTCTATATTATTAAGTGAATGAACGAAATTGCATTTTTCAAAGTTTTGATCAATTCTTCCTCCTTCAGACGATGGTTAAAATAACAATTTTTTTTATATATATAGAATTACCTAATTGATTGAAATAGGATTGACTGATTTTAATTTAAAACCAGCACCGCACCATGCACTCACTTGTTAAATGGTTTTTCTTCAACCATTGTCTTTTACATTTAATTTACATTCAACAGCACTGTATCGAATCTCCCAAAACATCGAATCAAACCCGACCTTCGATGTCCCATAATTTCCTTCAGGAAGTGTTAAGCTCATAAGGTATAACACTTGTGCAATTTCACCTGATTTATTCTCCAATTAACAGGAATTACATTGGGCTAACAAACGCTAAATGCTCAGTTTTAGAACGTTCTTTTCATTTGTTTGTTCAAAGTGAAATACTGTACATCTTCTTTGATATAATCATTTTATTCAGAGAGATCAGAAGAGTTTATTTTAGTTATGTATAGAAATGCACATAATTTGGAGAGATCACACATCAAGAATGTCTGTGTTCAGCTATTTATTGTTTATACAAATTATTTACAAGAATGCTTTGAAAAAATATTTACCACGATATAATGCGTTACCGCAAGCGTAGATATATGTATACATAAAATAAAAACAGTGTGATGTAAAGTTAGAATAACACGAATAAATGTTTAAAATGATACTGATAGACTTTTTCTTCCCATGTTTTTCTCTAGCTAAACAAAAACGAAACGAAACGAAGACATGGGTACTGCCAACGAGATGTGACATGCATACTGTCGTAGTTTACTATGTGACACATTGAAGACACGGCATGAAAGGCGAATATATAGGCTTCAAAACTAAGTTGTTTCCATCTTTAAATTTAATTTCGGTTCGAAATTTCGTGATATTTCAAAGCTCCCTCGGTGTCCCATGAAAAAAAATTCTCCTCGTGAAACAGAATTTTATTTTCTTTCTCGTAGCCTGAGCATTGAAGGTTTCAGTTTATTTTATCACTGATCATCGGATTTGATTTAATTGTCCATGTACAAATCTAACGCCTTTTCTATCCACAGACAAAATCAGTTATTGACGGAGTCTTGTTACTTTCACCCAGTGCCTCAAGGTTCCTGACCCGTTCCTTCGCCCATGTTCAAAACAGCATTCCTTTTTTCACTAAGCTTGAATTGTAAGAAGAAATCGGTATTCCAGATTTAAACTGACCTCTGCTAGAAAGGTATGGAAACTGGGTTTCTTGAAAGGAGAGAAGGGCAAAGTACTCTAACGAATTGTTGACCACGTAAAAAAATAAATAACTTTACACAGTTCACCTTTCCTATGATTGGTGAGAATTATCGTAAAACCGCCGTTTACGACCGTTTCAAGACCTGAGAAGTCAGGCCACATTTCAGTCGTCAAATCGGTTGTATAATGACAGATTGAAAAGTAGACAGACGGTAATGACTCGTACTTCTATTTGAAAATGTCTTTCACTTTGCGGTTTGTTCTCATGCAACAAGAACACCTCAAGCTTGCAAAATGGGATCTTATTAAAAGAGGTAAAGATGATATGAAATAACACGAAACCAATGATTAAAAGAAATGTTCATCCTTAAGAGTTGTATCGTCGTAAAAATGATGGCGCCACCGTTCTGAGACTTTTACGCATTTAACAGAGTCTGAGCTACAAGTACATGCAAGTCGAGATATCGTTGAGACAGTTTTTGTATGTGGCAAAGGATGGAGAACTAATTTGAAAGACATGGATCGCGCAATAACAAACATGATTGCTGTGGGGTAAGAACGGTAAGTATTACAAGATGCAAAAGTTGTGCCAACCGTTTGCATGTGTCATCTCCAGATTCAGTGACAAGAAACAGATAAGCTGATCTTCTTATCTTTAATCTCCGGTTTTGTTGGGCTATCATTGTAATTTGGACCACCAGCCACGAGACACATGTTCTGCACAAAGACTGATCTTCAAAAAGTCTTTATCTGTACAGCTGTATCTTGAAAGTGTCAACGTCAATGTAGTGACTTCACGGCCACTGCAAATGAAAAGTGGACCTGCAAATAGCAACCGATTCAAGGCTGTGAGAGATTAAAACTTATAGTCTTGATGTTTCGCGACATTTTTCAGCGAAGCTTTAGCATCTTCACTGATTCGTTTTTTACGTTTCTTAGCTTCATTTGACATGAACGCTTTGTTGCTTGTTTGTCGTCGGTACTTAGCGATCATCGTCTAAAACCTCTTTCTAAAGTATGATCAACCGAACAATTTTCAAAGTATCAATATGAATTTTCTTCGGCTTTGGAAATTGCTGTCGTCCTAAAAGTTGTCAAAATTAGCGAAAGCGAACGAATCGAGATCATATGATATGTGTGTGGTTAGGAAGTTTGACCTACAAATTGTTTTTTTGAACAAAAATATCCTTGCGATGAGATAAGCGTTATGGCCTTTTTGGCAACGGTTTTGGGAAATTTATAGTATCGTTTCACGTGTGGTGTTTATGACTGTTAGAAAACAAAGCAGCTCTCAAATCACTTTTGAACGCTGTTCTCAGGTGGACTGATAGTATTCCTGATTATACACAATAATGTACCGTGTGCTGTGATCTCACCGCGGCGATCACATCAGAGCCACAAACTGGAAGTACTCGGAACCTAATTACAATCGCTCATGTTTGGTATTTTTAGAACATTGTTGTCTAAATTTAATCTTTAGATTCTTTTTCCTGTCTCTGACGTTAGGTTGAGATGTTGCAAAAAGTCGTTGGCTCAAACTTGCCACTGATTTGTTTACGGCATACTTCAGTTTGTAAATGGCTACTTTACAAGGTTTAGAGCCAAAGAAAAATTACTAATCGTGGGTCGACCATTAAACACCATAAATAGTGTAACCGGCAAACTTCTGTCTAAAGAAATAGCTATAGCGTATCCATAGTCGTATAGTATTCCACTGAAGCTGTAACTATCAGTTATCAACAGAAAATCATTGTTCCATCATCAAAGACAAATCAGCTGATGAGCATGGTTTCCACGGCAAGAAAATTTGATTTTGAATAAGAGAAAAGATTAGTCTTCTTCATTCACTCATAGTGTATTTAATATTACAAGTAAACTGTCATCGCACTACTTTTCGATGACTCATTTGCATTGTCTGTTCACATTTTTCGCTGAATCAAGGATAGTTTGAGGAAAAAAAGCAAGAGGTTATTTGATTTGTCTTGGTGAAGCCTTTGCTAATGCTCGGAAATATATTTTAAGGGCATAAGTTGGATGAAATAAGATACACTTAATTGGAGTTTCTGAGGAGTAAACGATCCAGATTTTTCTTCACTGGTTTGCTTTGCAAGGGATAAACTTAGGAACTTCTTCGTAAAACCCAATACTTGTTTCAGGTTGTGTTGAAGCCTAGAGAAACGGAACAACGGAAAATATATGGTGTAGAGACTTAGACACTAGGTAACATGCCGGACAATGACTGATGAAGCTAAAAAACACCGCGTAATAAAGTTACAAGCTGTTAGGAAAGGAGTTCATATCAAACATGCTGAATCAAGGTTAAAACTCGTAACAGCAAGCTGAGGCTGTTTCAGAAATACCTCTTCGTGAGTAAGAAATATGCCGACACGCTAGCAGAATATCTTATTGAGAGAATAGCTAATATTTTGTTGAATGTTTGAGGGGGCAAGAGCGTGCTAATAAAGGTTAACTGACAGATACTCAGTTGGAAGAGCAAGGTCTCGCTGGCAACGCTGAGAAGTTGCAAAAACTCTGGACTCTACGGGTTTCTTCACCTCAGCGAGAGATAAAGTTAACTTTGGTGCGACTGAGTTTGAGGAGGCAAAGATTCAATTGTTCCCGAAAATCACACTGTGGATGAGTGACAAGCTATTAACAACATACCTTGAGTATTTCAGTCAAAATTATTGCTCTCGTCACCCAACACAAGAATCAATGTCGTGACATGGGCAGGGTATGAAGTACTAAGGTTAATTAATTTTCAAGAACTTTTTTCCGGGATTCTCATCAACCTGTTAGCACAGCTCTAAACAAGCGACCAGATAAGCATTGTTGACATGCTTAACTAAACCTCTGCAGTTTCTGCACTCACGACTGCAATTAGAACTTATCACATAGAGATTCGAGCGCCACAAAGACTGTTGATTTTAAGCAACTACATATTGATACTTCAGTCTTAAAAACTACACTAGCATTGATAGCTACAAGAAAGACTCTGATAAATGAAAAGTTGGAAAATGAAATCCATCTGCCCTGTCCCTGAAAAATTTTATCCTTTACACATAAGAGAAAAATTTGCACAGCGGGGAAATATATGTTTACGGAGGAACGCTTAATAGTGCGGCAGCCGGCGACTCCATAGACTTGTTATCCGGATGTTGTTAGTCAATCCAGGCCAGTTAGTGTCTATGCATCATTAATCTTCATTTGTACCGCGCAACCTGACGTGACTGGCTTGAGTCCAGGGTAAGAAAAAGAGACTCTCCGCTAATAGTTCAAAATGGCCAAAGGTATTCTAAAATGGAACAACGAAAAAAAGTTTGACCTGTTCTTCCGAGGTATCTGATCAAATTATTTCATTTAGTTGCAAAACCCTTCTATCGCTAAACCCGCGGACATGCGACTCTTTCCAAACCAGTATAAAACGAAAAAGATGTAAGAATGTCTCGGATTCCAGTGTGAGCAACTCAACTCAATTGACATGTTTTAAATTGAGGTCCAACTGGAAGAAACTTCTTGAAACAGTCAAGCGGTTAATATCAGTATATCTCCTGAAAATTGGTACAACAAATCGGATGTGGAAAACGTTTCAAAAAAAAAAGAACTACCCTGCCTTGTGAGATGCCATTTTATCTAAATGAAATGTAATTCTTTGAAATCACTGAGAATTTTCATCCCACTGAGAAAATAATTGATAAGTAAGGAGCTCCACTAAGGAGCTCTTTGCCTCTCTTAACTATAGGCCAGGAAGAATGGAAAGAATTGTAAGAAAAAATAAGCTGCCGGTCCAAGTATTTCACATCAAACAGAATTTTACATGAACGATAAAAGATCTCAGTGTCAATTAAGAACAGTGACAATTGGACTTGTTCCTTTATAGATGTGATGAGCCAGATAGAAAACGTAAAGGAAAAAAGGATGCTTCTCTCTATGAGCTGTTTTCGTAAACAGGAAGACTGTATCGAGATCGCGCAGTAAATTTTGCAGCAAAATATGCCTCTCTGCAGGGAAAAGTCTTGCGCATGGTCGGTGCTCAGAGAGAAGACAATGAGTTCACATCTGTTCCGCATTTTGCGAAATTTTCCTCTGAACTTTGAAGTGATACGTCGGTGCTCTCTTTGTGAATAAGAACGGCTGGGGGCCATACTACCTGTGGTTTTTTAATCACTTCGACAGCTCCCTTAAACCGTGATAATTTACATTGAAAAATATTTCCAACTCTATGTACGCAACGAAGAAACGTAACTCGAAGAGAATCGGTTGACAATTCTATATAAGAGCAAGATCTAAAAGAAAGAGAGAGAAGATTGAAGAAGCATAGAAACGAAATTAGTTTCAAAGTATGATGGTAATATGAAGTACACTCGGTATTCATCAGATAACGAGGCCTTAGCGCAGAATTTCCAATCAACAAAGATTTCTCCGCGCGTGTAGCTCCTGACCACAAATTCGGCTCTCTCTCTCTCACCAAAGCGAGAATTTTCAGGTTTATTTAGTTTGTTCATTTTCCAATATTTGCTTTCTCCAAGTCAAGCACCTCCTTGAGAGCCTTGTTGATTTTCAATGCAATCAAAAGACGGCTTTGTTGACATGTAACGCTGTCTTATACATGATTTGACAGTCACAATCTGCGCGGTGTATTTGTGTCAGGATCGATTTCAGCGCGCATTCCCCGACCGGCCAAGTCTCAGCGAGAGAAAACCCTGCTAATTACCTTTGATAGGAAAAGCCTGTACCGCGACGTGAAACCCAACCGTTTTCTATTTTGTATTCCACGCAAATGTATCCAAGAGCGTACGATGTTCAGCCTAGTTCGTATTCCTACCCTCCGCAGAATTATGCAGGAGCAGTTCACTTTCCTTATGGATATTCTCAGTCGCGATTTACTAACTACAGCAACGTTCCGATACAGCCGCAAGATCTCTCAGAATTGCCGCGACACCCTCCACCTCCACTTTCGCACCTAACCGAGCAACTGAGTGGAAACCATCGCGCTCAGACAGAAGATCGGCCTTCGTGCATGCTTCAAGAAAAAGGTTTACCAGTTTTCTTCCGAGTCACTTCGCGTCCGCTTGATCGACGTAGAAATCGTCGAGGATCAGAGTCCTTCGACGACGGCGTTAAAGGTAACTTCCCCGATTGAATTGGTTTCCATGCAAAATTTCCTGCTGTTTTCCTTGTATTGCCATAATGGCATATGTTACTAAAACGAAAACAGAAACTTATGTTTTCTTTGTTGCACTTTTCTAAAGGAGATTGTCGTTTTATTTATCTATAGTTTCAACAGGACTTGATACAAATACATGTGGGTATGTTTAAACAGGAAAGATTCGGAGAAAGAGTAAATACTCTGTTAAACAGAATGCCAATAGCTTAAGGATTCACAGAAGTAAGACCACAAAATCAAACTCTTATTTTCATACATAACATTGGCTACTTTCCATGCAAAGCTTCCACTTTCAATAAAAAAAGAAAGAAAAAGACATTTCCCAGTCATGCTGAAGCGTGTTTCGACGCAAATATATAAACTGTCACCAATCATACATTACAACAATTACTTTTCGAGCTCATTTAGATCAACAAAATCTCATAATTAACACTTCTTATTTGCTCTTTAGTGATCGCCACTCGGTAATAGCTGATCAAACGAAGGAAAATCCTTTAGATCTTCATGTTGTTTGACAGTTTCAATTGATGAACTAAAACAACAAAGCTGACTAAACATGGAGGGCTGTTTGTGAACGTTACGCTATTATCACGGAATTTCGGCGGCTTAGTTGACCCATCATCTACCAACTCACACTCAAAATTTACAGTAAATGTCAGAATACTTTTACTATTATTCCTACAATGTGTGTACGTTAGGAATGTGTAATCTTGTTGTAGACTAGAAGCAGAATACAACCACTGAAGACCTGACTTCCCGAAGGGTTTCACGTAGTAAAGCTCGACCACACCGTCATATTCACCAACTTTGGATCGTACTAAGAAATCTTTCCACTTCCTACTTAGTGACGTAAGTTTTCATTTTCAATTTGGAAAACGCAAATTTTTAATCGAACACCACAAAAGAATGTTTTCTCTAATTGCACGTAGTAACAATTTGAGGTTATCAGTTAGCCGCCGGGAAAGGAAGTACACAGAATCTTATTTTGGCACAAGGCGAAACACACTTTTTATGATAGCATCAAAGACCCAAACCGGACCAACGACTTTCGGAAAAGATTCAAATTTCAAACTGAACTCTTCTTGATCACTTAAATTTTTATTTGTCTGTAATGAGAGTTAAGTTCGCCATTGCAATAAGAAATGCAACTCTTCAAAGCTGTGGTCTATTTTGGTGGTCTAATAACACCCTTTCGAGTGCTTTAGTTACAAATTTCTCCAACCTGTGGTTTTAACAATTAATCATACTTGAAGTTGGCCACAAGAGAAGCCGCACATCAATGTAAAGAACAAGCTTATTGACGGACCTGCTAAAAGCCTCAACAGATTTGATGTACGGAGACGTGATCCCTCATCCAACTCTAGTGTGTGAGCTTTACAAATTTTCGTAGTTTATGAACCATCTTTGATATCACCTTCATTGCACAAAGTAAGAGCTACGGAGGTCAGAATTATAGTATCAAAGAAAAAAAGTTCAAACTTAACAGACTCAAACCTCAGTCCGACAAGAGAGAGTCATAAAATTCATTGTTGACAGAATTTGTGCAATAATCTGGTACCGATTTCTGTTTGTAAATTACTTCTTGAAAGACCAAAAACAGATCCACAACAGTCTGCACTTGAGCTGAGTTGATTGTTATATTTATTGGTCTGAAACAAGTTAACTTCTATTAAGCTTGATGTTCAATTTTGAAACTTAGACTATTTGTTCAATGTGTTACAAGTTGGCCTCACCTATGAAGATCCATCTCAGATAAGTAAACACTTTTGATTCCTACAGAAAGCAACTATGTTTAAAAAGAGAGCCTTAAACACAGCTTTACCGTTTCCCAATAGCTCTCATTGTGAAAATGTTTGGGAAACTTTTGTCTGCTTAACGAGGAATTGGCCTTCACGAGTTCCAAATAAAAACTTGTTCGCAAAGCAAGCTGTATGCAAAGCAGGGCATTCTCTCATTGCCTTACTAACAAGAAAGTCTCTCAGTCATTTGGAATCGAATTTATTTTACCATTTCTGGCTGAAGATAAGACCGTTTTTAATTCTTCTGTACCAAAATGCATAACTGCGAAATGTTTATGAAAACTGAAGAATATTTGGTTGACCTACACCGCCTTTCGACTAAGGAAGATCCAGTTGATGTAGGCTTTCGAAAATGTCCACATTTCTAAAATCAATTTCTGTCTGGTTTCCCTGGACAAGAACGAATAGCTTAGTAATGAGAATGGCTAATCCTTCAGTTGACGCCTAACAAGCATCAGTCCGAGAATTTAAATGCCTTTGTTGGCTCACGCGATTTCAAAGTTAGGCGCTTTATTCTCTGAAATACCGTTACTCTGAAGATAATTAACTTAATAGAACGGGGTGGTAAAGAATTCTCATCTAGGCGAACGCAAAATTGACACCCCCAGCTCTTACTTATGTGCATGCGAACCAAAGAAAGAACCAAAGTGAAAGATGGCTTGAGTACAAGAGAACTGATCATGACTCCAAAACAATAAAGCTGAATTCCATTGTTTTGCACACCAAGCAACCCAAAACTTTAAACAAAAGTTTCAACTCATTAGGCTCGACACTTTAACCGACACAAAATTACAGAGAGAATAGTAAGCTTTCTGCCTTATCTCAGAAACGGGAGATCGAAAAAACCACAAAAATGTTGATTTTAGTGGAGCGTTTAGGCGGTTGAGATGAGAGGATTTCAAAAGGCACCGAACTTCAACCATCTCTGACGACGACACAGCCCTCTACAACCCCACCTATTCAAGTGTTGGTACTTCCTGTATAGTGATGGAGTTTCTGAAAAAATTCTGAAAGACTGAGTAAGCCTAAAAGAATTACTATATTTGATTAAAAAGGGAGGTTTGATAATGATATATCAGCATTCTTTGTATCCAAATTGCATAATGTTTTCTTACGGTGAGTTCAAGCCATCTGAAAGTCATCAAAATGGCGCACCCGCATATTTCGGCGCTGAAAAAGTAACGCCATTTACGTGGCTGATTTTTTATTTTTTACGAAGCGGCAATTGATTGTGGGGAGATTTCTTCCTGCGAGATTAGAGTTAACTTCTTTATTGAATTCCTGCAATAGATTTAAAGAAGTCCAACCTTCCAAGCAAATACGGTTTTGAAAGAGAAATGCCCCGAGGCTAAAAGAAACGTTCACGTTCAACATTGTTTGTTATTGTTGTGCGTATTGTCTTTGTTGAGGAAAGTTTAGACTGAAGAAAATAAGAAAACAAAGACGAAGTTACCTAAATGGATCTGATGGAGTCGCGTTACCTTTTACTGTGTTTTATCTTCTTATCTCTCCATGATTTTTGATAATTGTTTTTCTCTGGTGAAGACGTTAAATCAGTTTATCAATTTATGCTCACAAATAATTCCTTTGAGAAAGAGATGCCTAAACGACCAGCGTTTTTCTTCCGAACTCGAGAATTCATCAGACTGAGTTGCAGTTCATCTTCCTGAAGACTACCGCGATGAATAATGAACGTGCCCTACGAACAAAATCTCTAGGATCTGTAGTGTAGCCTTGAATCAATAGCTGCCATTTTGGCACAACAGAAGGCGCTCGCGTGTGAAACACAAATCAAATACCGTGTAACGCATATATAGAGCATTTAAAACATGGCAGCACAACTGATTCAGCACGCAAATGAAAACATGGAATGACGCGCAACTGTTATTAACACCAAATTTTAAAACGCAAGTGTTCCGAGCAACAGTTTATATGAAAATGACTACGGTAAATCAATACTTACTCTTAGCGCTCGGAGTTCGGCCTTCGAACTTCATCAATGACTCTTGCTCTGCCGCGTATCATGGCGGCTTCCTTTTAACTCTAAACAGACCAATGCATTGCTGCTCCCTCTTCCTGACTCTTTGCATGACTACTAACTAAACATAATGGCTCTTAGCTTCACTGCGTGAAGATCCCAAACAACTCCGATGCGCGCAAGCATTCCTACAGAGTCTGTATTTTGAACTATAAGTATCCAAAACAAAACCTCGACTGGAAAGACCATTAAAAAGCCGCAGTGGAGATTTTTTGTTTAAATGAGTTTAACATCTGAGTTAATTTATTTTGAGAAAGGGAAAGAAGTTGATTTGCGAGACTCCCTGGCGCGCTGCTCAGCAGTATCCCCTTGAATTATATTTGGTCTTCCTTTTTGTATTTCTAAAACAGATTTTCCCAGTTCTGAGGAACAAACGGGGTCAAGTACGGACACTAAGAAAAGAAAAGAGAGGACAGCTTTCACAAAACATCAGCTTCAAGAACTGGAGAATGAATTCCTTCGTAACAATTATCTAACAAGATTGAGGAGGTACGAAATTGCAGTGAGTTTGGACTTGACCGAAAGACAGATAAAAGTTTGGTTTCAAAATCGGCGAATGAAATGGAAGAGGATAAAAGGGCAGCCTTTACAAAAAAGGGGGAATTATTCTGTTGAGGATGAAGAGGAAGAAACAACAACATGATTGCTTATGGATCAAATAAAAAATACTTTAAAGAAAGAACTTGTGAATCCAAATTGCGTTGTACACCAAAGGGAACTGTGTTCTGTTGGATTTTCTCCACGGATTTGGAGACACAAGCTCGATAACTTCAAGGAAAGCCAGAGATTTAAAAGGAAAAGGGCGAAGATCATGTTATTTAGTCAGAAACAAGGGAGCTAACATAGGTAAAATTAAGAATTTTTTTGAACCGTTAATTTGTCGTTCGGATGGAGGTAATATTAAAAGGTAACGCGGCATGGCAATCCATTGAATACAAAAAAACAAAAATTGCGGAAATGGTAAAGAAAATTGTATTTTTTATCTATGTACAGTCTGTAAACCTCTATCACATATATTTTGAATTGTAACTCGTAATGAAAAGAACACGAATGCTGATTTAAAATGACAAATTTAAAATACAGCGGAAGTCGATTGGAATAAGTTGCAAAAGACTGAGAGGAACAAAGGCAATATAATATAACCTTTGTCGTTCTTTCTTTATTTTCTGAATCCGTAAAGCCTCATTATTTTAAAATATAGAGAATTTCAGTATTGTAGCTAAGCTTAATGTATCAGTTTGTAGATTTCTTGTTACTCGTTTAGGGGAACTACTACCAATACAGAAGGTGTCAAGTGCCCGGCTTGCTCGTTTTAATTAGATTCCGAGACCGAGTGGTCTATGTGATCTATGTTGATGCACTTATCTGTTGCAGTGCTATATTTTAAAAGGAAAACTGAGTTACTTTACAATTATTTATCCAGTTTTAAGGGATGCAAGTGGTGAATGATTCAATTGACCTTTTGCGATTGTGGAGCTACAGTATTCCAAGATTCGCGAAAAATATATCAGTAACTTGAGCACAACTCCATAGTAAATATTATTGAACAACGTCAAACCCAAATCTTAAAAATTGTTGTAAACTTAACGCCAAGAGAGATGGATATGTTTAATGAACACCCTATAAAATTAAATCGTCACTGCAATGTAAATTCACTCAAGACGGAAGGGCCGATATTTCAGGACCCATTGAGGAGCTAAATACAAAAATTCACAATGTCATAAAACTGTGCAGATTGTTTGACATGTAAAAGCCTTGGCTTCGACTCGTAATCTAGTTGGTAGTTGAATACTTTTAAAGAAAAATATGATTGTCAGTTTCTCCTTTAAATGATTAACTCTCCCTGTATAGTCTGAGTCGCTATAACCTCACTAGTTTATGTGAAAGTAAATATCACCAATAAATTCCTACAAGACAGTAGTCTTCATTAACAAATTACTCAGTGTAGGCTGACCATTTGAAACTCGTCGCGGTAAAGTGAAGCAATTGTTAGAATTGATCATAACGAAATGCAAGTCCGTATAATTCTATCGATCGCAACACAATGGAGCAAATTGCACCAAAATTTTTTGCCTGAATATTAAGAATAATCGTTCAGGAAAAAGACATCTGGAAATATTTCGTAGGCAAGCTGATCACCCTAAGCGCTTCCGACGAGAGCAGGGGTCAGTGTTTCTGACGTGCCGGCGGTTTGTGTTAAACGCTGACTTCAAAACCTTGATGATAGTCTGTCTGATGATATGTAATCGATACACGATTCATTGCACGCCCCCTCCACGTTGAAAGAATCTCTGTGGGACTCTAAAGGTCTGCCAAGTGCAAAACAGTTGGAATTTTGGGCATTTTTATTAAATTTCAGTCAGTCGGACCGGTATAAAAATGTTGGAATTGTGAGTTTAATGAAGCCACGGCTTATGGTTCCGGTTACTCTGCATGTAATCTGGAATCCATTTGGATCTTTTCAATCCTTGGCCATACTTGTTCCTTCTTGCCCTATTGTTTTCTCTCTTGGATTTTTGCGTCTTAACGAGCTAACATTTTGTTTTCCCTTGCAATATTTTATAATTTTCCCCATCCTTGTTCCTACACGGTTTGTTTTTTGTCTCTTTCGAGTTTCTCTATCGGAACGAACGAATATTTTGTGGTCATTTACAGTCCTTTTTAATCTTCTCCATCCTCGATCCTATTTGGTTTACTACCGTCTGTGGTATCTCTTTTGCGTTTTTCTATCCGAGCGTGCTGATATTTTTCACCTTGTTGAATACGAATTTGTCCAGACATTAAGATCTCATGGTACCTTGATATTCTAGAATCATAAAATAAAAAGCTATTATTTGTTTGACCAAAAAGGAAACTGCAACGTGTTGCACCTTATATGGACTAAAACAGAGGCTGTACTTAACAAATATTGTTGTGATCCACTTTTGTAAGAAAGATGAAATATCTGAAAACAGATTTTTGTCAAGCAAATTAACCTTTCTGTCTGCCTCGTTTCGTTCTATTCAATTAAATTTCCGTTAACGACATATGAGTTAATTTATCATCTTCTGGGGCAAACTGTCTGTAGTTTATCTTGATTGAAATTTTGTTTGCTTGATTTTTCTTTTCTTGTTGTTTCCTTTATGTTTTTGCTCTTTTCTTGTAGTCATTTTTTACAATCCTCTTCTGAGGCAAGCACAAGATAGCCTTCACTGTCAGCTTGTTCTTTTAATTGTCCTTGAAGGAAGTCCTTATTTGCGACTCCTTATTACGAAAGGATCTAATTACCTTTCACTGTGTTCAAACTTAATTAAACCCAAGAGCTAGGGCTCTGTGTCCGTTTAGTTGTATAAAACGAACCTAATGGTGATTTAATTTTTGTATACAACATAAAACGCTCCGGAATGTATCAAATTGAAGGCTCATCAAACTGTTGAACAACAACAGAAAAATAGTGACTTTAATTTCTGCTCTCTACAATTCGAATGAAAAGCAGTGCATTTTTGTGGGAAAAAAGAAACATAAATTGTAATGGCGTTGGAACTTTAATAACTTTGTGTCTTTAAGTGAGAACGACGCAAACGTTAGACATTGCACTTTGCAACATAATCAAGCTTCACATTTACTTGTGCTGTGGAGGTTCGAGTGCAAAAAAAGCAATTAAAGTTGAACTTAGAATGCAGGTCAATAACAAAACCAATGGAAAGTCCCAAGTGTCCATAAAACAGTTATCTTGATCAATCAGAGGTTCAAATATCCTGATATTTTATTGGAGACGGCCGAGACGAGTTAAACCGCCCTTTGATAAAAGTGTTATTTAACGTTCTTTGCAAAGGCGAATATTTAAGTCTGCTAAATAATTAGTTGGCTGAATTACATCTCAAAGGTGGTGAAAATAACAGCATAAACAACTGAAACAGCTTAACAGTTTCCTGCGGAAACTTCGCCAATTCACAGAAACTCATTCCCCATGAAAGGGACACATACAAAATTGATTTTTCATCCTTAAAAAAAAAGACCATCTTCTTATCTTGTAAATCGAAACGCAATTTTAATTGGGCGACATCTCTTATTTGATTTCTGATTATAGATATCTTTTCTTTTTACGCACTTTCTCATCAATGCACAAATTCAATCTGGCGACCGGAACTCCAAGGTTTTTTTGACAAAAAATTTGCTAATTAATTTAGTGCCATCATAAGATTTATTTCATAGCATAAATTGCTTTCTGATGTTTACCTAGAAAACACAATAAATATGCCAGAAAGCTTGTAAATCAGTGGAAACACTTAAGCACGCTCGATTGGACCCAAAGATCTTCCACTTACACCTTGGTGTTTTCTTAAACGCGCCAAGCAGATGGAAAACCCGATATAGTTCCGCATTTAATTCTTTTAGGACAAAAATCTAGAAATGATTAGACAGGACTACCTTGGTTAAGCTCTAATTCATTTAGCATCTGATAAAGTCGGCAAACTCAAAGAAAACGTTTATCACAAGGGTACGGATTGCAGACGATATTTATTTTTCGTGTGGCAGCCATTACCGACAAATAAAGAGCAATTTTTGTGTGATTTATCCACCAGAAAACTTGGTATTTTTCAGCCAAGCCAACGATTAACATATAATGGCTTGCCAACGTGATTTCAAAACGTGCTGGAGCAATCTGAACTAGGTTTGGAAATGCACTTATTTCGAAGACAGGGGCCATATGCGTCAATCCCGCCTGTCTGAGGCCCCCAAAATCGACCACTTGCAACAACTGTGTGTATCAGCTGACATCAAAACGGAGCGCAGCGACTTGTTGCACGTGCAACCATGGAATATCGATTTCACGAGCTGTGCATGACATAAACAGTCGCAGTTTGATCTAAAAACATATGTAACCGTGGCGGAAATCAAATTTTACAATCAGCAATCGATGCCACTGCTGAGGAGATATACAAGAAAATGTACGCCAGAGGATTTGGGTATAGTAGTCAGACTTACGGCCATTATAACCCCCAATACCACATTCCCCAGCAAAACTCACCGCACCATCCGCCTTATCAGCAGTACATTTACAACGCGCCCCGCTATGGATTTAACACGTTTACCCGTGGCAATCCAGCTCCGTTCAACCATATTGCAACATCACCCTCGGCGATCCATTATCCGGGAGAATCGCGCTTACCCGATCTGGCGAGTCAAAGAAAAAGCTACGAAGCTCATTGTCATTACTACTCGCCCTCGCCTCTTCCTCCGCAACCTGCCCTTCAGCCGCCAGAGCCTCCGATACAGCGAGACAAGGAAACTGAACATGGCATACACGAAAGAAACACGAGCACGAAATTAACTGACAATTGTTACCCAGGTAAATAGAAGGAGATATATTTAATTGCAGTTTGGGCTTAACGCCGTCAGATTAAGACCTTTGGAAACAGGATTAGTAAGTGTGTAGATTCAACACTCTGATTGCGATGGATTACTCATTATATTACAGTTAAGAGTGTATTATACCTGCATTTACTTTCATTTTGCTTGATCGAAATTTGATGGAAACTCCGTGGATATCCAGGTCGATTGGAAGACCTTAAGTGATCGATTAAACAAAAGTGAGACACCTTGTATCATCCTTTCTCCCTCGGTTTCACCCTTAAGCTTCCCTACTTTAAACCTTTTCCTCAAGCAGGTCAGGAAAGGTCCACCTCTGGGAAAAAATAATCTGATCCTGAAAGGTTTATATAGTCGTGGTCGATTTGTCAATCTGCATTTAAGTTCTCAAGCTCTCGGTCTTGTTACTCTTGACGGCCAAATTAGTTCCATCTCGAGTTAGCCGCTCTTTCCTGGTTGGAATTGTTTCTAGCAATTCAAGAAGGGAAGCAAGAATATTTTATTGTTGTCACAAAAAGCTGCACCTCAAGATTCCACGTCTCTACAAACCTCACATTGTACTATGTTTTTTTTTTGTTATAAAAGTCATCTTAATACTCCAAGAGTTGTTTCCAGTTTCGTTTTCGTAGCCAAAGTTATGATTTTGTTGGGTGTAATCAATCCACAATGTTTGTTGTTCCCGTTTATTTAAGTGCCATGCATTCAAAACTGTACTAACGAGATTCAGTGGAGCAATGACTGACATATTACTTAAAAGATCAATGCAATTCAATTAAACCATCTAGGACTTTACCTAAATCCTTCTTATCTATCTTTCAGGATCTGACAGATCTGCTCAAAAGGCACAAAAAAAAAACTTGATTTTTTTTTTTATTTCGTGTGCCCAAAATGCGTGGATGAGTACATCCAAAGTTTTTTCAGACTTATAGAAATCGTTCTTGAACACCATGCATTATCAGCCAGAGTTCAAGATAAAGATTTCAGATTGCTGACCATTTTATCAAGACTTCTGTTTTCAGCTGTAAATTTCCTTTCAATCAATTCTTAAAATTTAATCATTGAGCTATAAAAGGATCTGACTAGAATCCGAACAAAAAGTTATGTTTACCTGTCGAAAAAACATTTTAAAAACATTTCTAGTTTCTGGGAACAGCAGGTAGACGAATTAACTCGCTGTGAATAGCAGACTGAAGAAACATTTTCCATCAAAGATAACGAACTCGGATACTTAAAATATAAAGCAATACTTTCACTGTCGGCTATGAATTTCTAACAACTCTGCAGAAATAGAGTGAATTTGGCAAAAGAAAAAAAAATGAGATGCTCTCTTATAAAACAAACGGTTCTTCCGGACCATCAGGTAAAACTGTCACTCCGAAGTTCAGTCACATACCGTGATAACATTTTAATACTGAATTAATGAAGGATGCAGGTATTTTTGCATGTGTTCCGGGGCAAATCCCTATCGTTAAATTATCGCTGCTTTCATATGTAACGGATTAACTTTTTCAAGGCAAAGAACTATCTTTGATCATAAAACAGATTTACTGAGAGTCCAAGGCAAACTTGGACTATTTGAAGTTAAGACCATAACTGATTGCACACGCACATCACCTCGCGCGGTCCATCACGTAGCCGTTTTACAGGGAAATAAGTGCCATATTGACTGGATTGGTCACATTTTCTGCGGAAACATCAAAGGGAAAACATCAGTGAGGGACAGCGGGTCACATTTTATTGCATAAACATTTGGCACAGGAACATCTGAAAATTCACTTTTCTACGAATAGAAATACATTGGTACTATATGCTAAAAGCATGTGTCGAAAACACGATTAAGATTATACTAGATATACAATAATCCGATTGCTGGCTGAGTTTATTACTGATTTTCGAGTACAGGGTACATCAGATAAGGTGGAATACGGAAATATATTCCGAATATACAATGCAAAAGAATAAACTTGGCTTTGATTAAATTTGCTCCAAGCTATTATCAATAAGCTGTCAAGGGAAGTTTTTCTATGCTGATACATGTTGTACGTACAGAATGAAGTTTTGAGCAAAATATAAGCATTTGATAGATGCATCGCATAGGATTAGGAGCGGCAACGATAAACAACTCACGTTTATGCAAGCTGGCTTTTTAGAAGGCAGTAGATTTTGTAAATCTTTTTAACGTGTGCGTATTAGAAACAATATTTCTTGGGTTCTTTGATTTAAAAACAGTTCGAAACAAAATTTCAGGCCAACAGAGGAGCAAAAACAATTGTCAACAGCATTTCATGGTGAAATAAACTTGGGCGGATAATTTCCTTCAAGCATATTGACCAAAAGGCGAAACACGCGTTAAAGAAGCCCCTGTCTCTTCGAGAATTTGTTTGTTTGTTTGTTTGTTTTTTACCTTCAAGGTTTGCTTGAACTGATTAATGGTTCAGTCATGTCTAAACCATGGATGTAGGGTCTGAGTTCGTGCGATTATATTGACAAATGAACGAGGACTACATTTGCCGACAAAGCAACTGAATTACTACCATCTGCTGGTATCTAAACTTGCCTGCAAGGTAGATATTGATGTTTTTTCCATGAAATGTTTCATTAAGTACGTGCTCAATTAGCTAGCTTCAGAAGTGCTTTTTATGTTAACGACCAATAGGACTTCTTTAAAGCCTTGTAACGAAGCTCCTTTATGAGTCAGCGAGCCTCGAGTACCCGATGTCGTAATGTTCTTTATCAATTTGTTTCTTTCTATTCCACTTTTTTATCTTTTAAAGGATGACCTCGTGAAATGTGAACCATATGTCTGGTAGAAACCTACAAATAGAAATGACTGGAACAGGAAAGTCAGTGGTTGAAACAGATGTGGGGAATTCTGCTATCTCTTAATTCGTTTGACCTCCTCCTCTGTTCGACCTTGAAGTTCGTTAGATCTATTATGATTTCGAGGTTTCTCACTTGACACTGTCCGCAATCAACCCTCGAAGTTTGGAGCATCCCTGATGCTTATCGTAGTATTGTTTGGTTACAAAACAAAGCATTTTCATTTAAAATTTCATTTTTAGAGCATCTTTCGCATCTCACAGCTCGCCAAAATTTCTGTCGCAACGAGCTGAATTCATAACGACTCTAACAATAAGTTTATGTGAAATCTAAACTTCATCGCAATTTTTGAAAAAATATCAGTAACTCACTTTCATTATGCTGTGCGGCGGAGACTCGTAGCAACTACACTTCGATCGAGTTATATCTTTCTCGGGCTGAATCACACCGGTGCATAGTTCAACTACAAATGGTTGTTTTGAACTGACAAATTTTATATTAGCGCTCACTGATGCAACGGCAACTAAAAAACTTCGGCGTTGATCTTCACAAAATCCACAGCACCAACAACATCTAAATTCCCCCCTCTCTAGAACAATGTTATGTCAAAGACTATGAAATTCTCTTCTCGCATATATGTATATATAGTTTTATCTATTCAAACTAATTTCCACCAAGGTGATTAGTATGTTCGGATAGCGTCTTGTTTGATGAGCTATATTCAGTGATACGTTGATGTGTTGAACTGTTCTCCTTTTGATGAGTTTCATTTAATTTTTTTTATTATAGGGAGGTTGATATGGTAATTAATTACATCGTTGCTGTCAAATTTGTTGTTATCCTGCTCATTCTGTAATTTTTGCACTGTCGTTGTTGTTATTGTTGTATATGGGGTTATTATTACTCCTCCTCTCCTTTTTTCTTTTTACAATTTGTGTCGTTGTTGTTGTTTTTTTCTTCTTCTCCTTCTCCTTTTTATTCACAACTCATCATGACTTTAAATCAGTAGATTAAACTTTCAAAAGTGATGGAAATGTTTTCTTTTCTTTCCAATACCATTAAAAGATACCGGGATGTGGAAAACTTTTCAGTAAAGGAATTTGTCTTAATATAATACCAAATTTTCTGACCTGGCCCCTGTTGTTCGATAACGCTATTTACTGGATAAATCTCTGTTTTGGCGGAGACCGCACTATGTTCTGTTAACACTACCTGCCGGAGAGTGAGTTATCCGTAGAATAGCGTTATTCGCTGTGCGAACAACTGAGCTCTGAGCTCAAATTTGTTGGAGTCAAAGTGTAGAACTGTACTTGAATGATGTTGGGAATAAATGGCTTAAATTGACGCGTGTACTGTCTCCATAGTCGATGAAGTCGATGAGGACGAAGACGATGAAGAAGAAAAAACAGAGAAACCAAAAGGAAAAAAAAGAAAAGAGAGAACAGCATTTACCACACATCAGCTACGTGAACTAGAAAACGAGTTTACTCGAAACAATTATCTCACGAGACTGCGACGATATGAAATCGCTGTTACCTTGGACTTATCAGAGAGACAAGTGAAGGTCTGGTTTCAAAACAGACGAATGAAGTGGAAAAGAGTTAAAGGCGAAAAGAAACCCGAGAAAAAATCTCCTTTCCAGATAATGCAACAGGAAAAAGAAAGGCTGCAGCAGGAATCCTGTACGTAACCAAGGAACGTAAATAACTACGAAGAGGGAGGTCTTGGTGTTTTTATGACCCCCTTCCCTCCCGACCCCTTACTAGTTTTCGTCAAGGGAAAGTTATCATTTCAAATAACGAAAAGTAGAGAAAATGCAGATGTCTACCCCCCCTTCAGCTGTCAAAAAGACACTATGATAGGACCCCATACTAGAGCATCTCTCCTACCCATTTCCTACTAGTAACCTGGCCTACTTTTCAACTGTCTCGCAACTTTTAAAGTGTAAAAAGAAAGAACAACTGAATATTGACGGATTTCTGATATTTGTTTTTAGCATTTTGTCCAAAATTAAGACAAGAATATTATATGAATTTTTTTCCGCACGTAAGCTAAGTTATCTATTTTGTCTTCAAAGCAAAACGTAATAGGTATGCTCGTGTGGAGAACAAAAAAAACGTAAGTTAATATTCTTTACCTGTAAATAAACCTTAGTGTCATTTTTTCCAATTTTGCATTATCATTTTGGCGTGAAAAATATAATGAAAAATAGATCAAGAACGAACAACTGTTAAACTTAAGGAGGAACTTGACATGAGAAATTCAAATGAAATTCAACTTCACACATTGGAGAAGAAATTCATGAACAAAAAGATAAGAAAGATACAGAAAGCCTGACTCCATGGATTCGATCTTTATTTTTAATAAAAAGCGGATTTAATTACGATCTTAGAACCTCTTAAGACCCCTTTTGAGCAAAAGTAACCAGCTTTTTCCTCATTACCAAACTCGATGTAAATTAGTTACTGCGACAAATAAGGAGAGCGACCGAAGATGTACAATTTTTTTCCTTATCCTCCCCTCCCCCCTTCTCAGAAATCTGCTGCCCACTCCCTTTCTACCTCCCCTGAAGAATTCGATATTGCTCATCTCTCAACGGTGGATAATGATTTTTGCTTCCTGATTGGCTTTTAGTTCACAAGTCTCGAGGCATTTCTTAACTTACAATCATCTGCAAACGCAGAGTTTCTCGTGTGTGGGTTCGTTTGGTTTTTGCTCCGACCCTTGCCTGTTTGACAGAAAAATCTTGATCAAATAAACGGTGTAGTGAAACCGAAAAATTTCCATTATAGCTGATGAAAACAGAAAGCCATACGAATTTCCGTTTAGGTCAGTTAGTGTATATTAATTAAGTGACGTCAAGCGCTAGAAAACGCGAGTGATTAAGACGCGATTGCTCTTAGTTTTGTTTCTGATTGGACAAGAGGGTGGTGGCACGAGTTTTCTAAACCAACCACAGAGCGAGGTGAAAACGATGTGGCGTTTTTAAATAGTACATAGTCCATACTGCTATGCTCTGGTGCGCTTTACAACACTGTACGGGACTTCGGCCAAACTTCATTGAGCAGTTTAAAATTTTGAAAGAAGCGCGTGAGCAGTTTTTAAACGCCTTCGCTAACAAGAACAGAAAAAAGGCTGAAGACAGAGCTTACTGTTTACCTTCATTATCCGGGAAGTCTAGATGGTATAACACTTGGCAGATGTCTCAGCAAAAGTAGCATTTTCCGTCAGTTATTGTAAGACCCAAAGTTCGACCTCTAGCTATGATATCATACTTTCTGGCCGACTGAATATTAAGGAAAAACGAGAAAAGTTCAGAACTGAATCTATGTTATGCTTGAAGGAGAAAAGGCCCAAGAATACAGAGTAATTTTAGTCCTAAGAAAAATAAAAAAACATGTTTTTAAGCCCTTTTTTTTCAGAACAAGTTCCCTCAATTTTTCGATTTTTCCAAGATTGCAACAGCATATCTGAATTACATGTAAAAAAATCAAACTTAGGAGACAGTACACACAAAAGATTTCCAAGGCTAATCCTTTAAAGCCAACAAAATGATTTCTAGACGTTAAACTGACACATTTCCATATCACAATAAATCCTTGACGACCAGAAGATGTAAAGCAGACCTCTTTTAATTTAACACAATCGACAGCATGATGTTCGACTTCAAGATTTTCAATTGAAAAAGAAAGGTTTGTAAAAATGCTTCAATAGAGCAGTCCCCAATAAAGCGAATTTACTTCGCGAGTTAAAACTATATTTTCACTGTCAGTTGGTTTCTCTCGAGTGGAATGAAATTTTAAATTTAGCGTTCTCATTCAAAACATCCGTCCTCCCTCGAAAATGTAAAAATATTGTCACAAGAAACAACGAAATCCCGGCTACAACACACGAAAAACAAAATCCGTTCGTCTACCATTATAGAAAACAAACACTCGACAGTTTTCCATTTCCTATTAGGTCCACAGTTTTTCAGCTCTTTCATACATAATATCACATGCTCTTTATCTTTTAGCATCCTTAAAAAAAATAAACTTAAAATATATCACAACTCCTAATTCTACAATAGCCTATCATTTGACTTGTCCACACATTTTTATAGTATCTGTTGTCCAGATACATTTATCTTGTAATACTAGTGAGGAACCTAAACTTACAAACCTTCATAGTTTTTACTGGGCTTCGTGACCATTATCTGTTTCTTTTCTATTTACCAATTGTTTTCTTTTTATATGTAATGGCAAATAAAAAAAAAATGAAAACGAACTTATGAAGATAAAGATAAGGCTGTAAGTTTGTCTTTCATTTTTTTTTTCTGTTATCCTTATGAAACTTTACTCACTAACAGTCCTGGTTGGACATAAACGTTGAAATAAATATCGTTCGTTTTACTGAATCATACGTACATTTAGCCACCATTGTTCACATGGGAAGTTTTTCGTGCATTTCTTTTAGAATCAAGACGGAATTACAAGTTCGGTTGTTTACGTTCATTGAAAAAGTAAAAGTCTAGTTTGTCAAATTTCAACATCAGTTGTTGGAAAGTAAGTGAATGAAGAACCGAAAACACTTGCCATGGTCTAATTCTCAATTATGTTCAAGAACATTGTAAAGTAGCCGATCGACAGTTCTTCTTTATCAACATCGTTTCCCGACTAGAGCCTTTAAATCAATATTTCTTGCCGCCGTTCAAAAAAAGCTGAACTCCAGTCATTGCACTTCGCAATGAAAAAAAAAAAAGCAAAATGCGCAATTGAGGAAATCGTCAATCAATATTCTTTAGCAAAAAGGCAGATACGTGGACGAGAGGGAAGCTTGTTTGATTAAGTTGTCTATTTTATTGATTAGACCAACAAAAAGAGTAATTCGTTTCCTGTGGAGGACGACAGATGGAAATTAAAGTAATTCTTTCGTGGCAGCAGATATTGAAATGATTTAAGGATGTAAAGAAAGAATACATACGAACCGGAAAAAAAGCTCATTGTGTTCGTGGCATATTACTTAATTTTGATCAAGACTAACGGAACCAATTAAACGAAAGGCAATTTACGGACTATCGATTTGGAGAGGTTTGAGTAAACAGCGTAGAAAGCATGCGACACCTGCCGGTTTTCTTCTTTCTTAATCACAATTCAGTAAAAATTCTTGACAAATAGAAAACGGGGCTTTTTGAATTTTCGATGTAGTACAATAGATACGTTTTGCTTAGGAGTTCACCTTTCGTACGATAACTTACCAGGAATTAACTTGTTGGCGTTGAAAAAGTCTCTTTGCTTTTCGAGAAAGAGAGATAAGAGTAGGAAGAGAACTGTCACTATAGTTCTAAACAATAAAGGCTGTTAAAACAGAAATATACCCCCAAGTTAAACTTTTAAATTATTTAAGTGTTCGTGCATAAAGGTCACTTCTATATTAACCGCCGTTTTTAGCGCCAGAAGCGTAAATCGATTTTATCAATATGAGGACAGTTTTAAAGAGAGTCAAATTTCCCTCGACACTTTTGGAAAATCATCTGGATGGAAATATCTCTCAGGAAAGATCTGTCTGGGAAGGATTGAAATCTGCTTCCACAGTCGACGTTTGTGAAGTTTTTCCTTTCAATGTTTCATTGCCGACAGATTATAGCTGCCATACCTTGGCGGCTTTCGTCCTAAACAAATATGAAAGGTGGAGAACATTAAATTACCACGCTTGAGAGAACCAGCCCTTAGTGGCGTAAACGTCGGAGAAAATTTATAATCGCTAAATTGAAACAAAGAGAACAACTGATGCTGTTTATTTACTTACAATCTATAAGATATTGACGGGGGGGTAAGGCTCTTCACATCATATCTTTTATGAAGTTGTTAGAAAAGGTTTCTCGCATAAGGATTGCAAACCCTCTGCATCACCCATAAGTCCACGCTTAAATGAACTAACAACTCCCCCCCCCCCCCCCCAATTCCCTTCACCCCCAGCTTAGAGTTCACACCGACAGTTGATTTTCTTCGGAACGTGTGAAAGGGAAAAATTGTTGAAGGCACACCGGAACTAATGAAAAATAAAAAAAGAAATGTTTAAATTCCTTAAACAGATTATTTCTTAGCAGATGGATCAGCATAAAAATAGGGTTTAAATACGGATCAGAGTTTTACCATTTCACTTTTGAATTAGCCTAAGAGGTGAGCGTACGACTCGCTCCGAAAAAAGAAAACGAGAAAAGAACTTGTTTTATACATCTACATAGGATCAAACACTCTCTCTATCCCGGTATGTTGAAGATTTTCATCTCATACAATCTTGAATAATTAGTTTCGACATTTAGATGGATTAGTTTTCACTTCGTCAGGCTGTAGTGTGTATGATAAACTTGGTATAGACACACAACTTGCCATATCTTATTGGAGTGTTCCGCGTCTTTTTGTTATTTTTACATGTTTTATATTTCATTTTAAAAGGAAAAATTCTCAGGTTAACAAATTAATTCTTATGGAAGCTATACACCCAAAAGACGAAGAAAAGCTTGAGGAGGGCTTTTCAAGGGAGAATTTTATTTTTTAGTGAATGAACAATACTCTTGTGATAAGTAACACATATTCAACCACCCTGTCCTCGGCCGAGTTGAGCCGTTTTTTTTTTTTTTTTTTTTTTCAATGACAAGACTCTTTACGTATGCTCGGAGTCAATGAATGTCCTTTATTCTTGTGGCATTTTTGGAGGGTTTCAAGGGGTGTATTTTAACCGAAAAATTTTACCTATTATACTTAATTAAGGTTTCAAATGCTTTAAGTCACATGACAACATCTGAACCATTGTGCCCACCGCTTGAATCAAGTATTAGAAGCGTTAATCCTGCTTAAAAAGTTAACATTTAGCAATTTTTGGATCATTTTTTCTCGGCGACAAATCTTTTAAACGAATTCATTCAAATTTTTCCATTTATTGCAAATGTTTTCGGCAAAAGTTGTCCAAACACGGTTTTTGTAACTCTCATCTGGAACGTATTGTTTTAGCGACCATTATTCACATTTTGGTAAAAACAAATTTTATCCCTTTTTTGGCGTCAAATCATTGTTCAAAAAAATATTTTTTCAACAAAAAATTGTCCGGATACGATTTTTAGATCTCCTATTTGGAACATACTTTTTCAGTGCCCAATTTTCTTGAAATTCAACATCTTTGCTAACAAAACATTATCTTTTTAAGTTGGGTTTATCCATTATAACCAGATTTTGTCTAACCGCTAGTTTAGAAGCGAATTAAGATATTATAGTCACTGTTTGTTCAAAGCTAAAATGTTCGCTCATTAAATTTAGTAGAGCGATATCTTTTATCTGATGCGTCGGAAACTTAATGCAAATGCATTTGATTCTGGTACTGAAAATCTTTAATTCCCATAATTTTATTGCGCCGACGGCTTTTCCTTTGATTACCCCAAGCGAAAAGCTAATCTTTTTAACTGGTCATAATGTATCTTGTTCGTAAGACCGACGCAATATATGCTAATTTCTCTTTCATTTTTTTATCCAGTTGGCATTTTGTTATTGGCTGGTAAGACGTTACGTCGTTATGTTATCGTCGGTCAAAATATCACTCGCCCTAGTCTCTTTGTTGATCCTTGTACATGTAAACGAGGCTTTTCCGATGAAGGAGTGGCTACCAAGAAGATCTATGGTGAAAGACGAGGACAGTGCTATTGAACAGCGGTTTGATGAAGACTCTTACAGCAGGTAATATATATTGATGCAAGAAATAAAATTATATTTTGCCTTTATATGATAAGATGAATTATACACGCACTTTGATTGGTTCGTACTGTGATTTATTAAAGGACAGACACGGATGTCGTCAACATTGCATTTTTTTTTTGTTTTTTTTTTGCTTTTTTATTATATAAAACAAATAGATTCCGTGTTGCCGTGGTTCTGTCCAAAAATAAATCAGAGAAGCGTCAAAACGTAGTGGGAAAATCAGTGACACACTCGATTGCGCCTCCTGAGCTACTGTTTTGTTCTCAGTTAGCGATTGGATGATTTGCCAACATTCTTGAAGGGTGAAAAAATAAATTGCGTTAAGCCCTCTTTTTTCCCCCATATTTCCAGCCCGATGAAAATTTTAAATGAAGACGACAAAGAAGAAGACATGTTTGCTGACGATGGATCGGAAAGAAATTTCCGAAAAAAGGATTTCTCAAGGCAGTACCAATGTCGATTTGGTGGTTGTGGAAAATGAATGAGTAAGTTAAAAATATGGGGTAATTTTGTTGGAATTTTCCATTTTTTTTTCGCTATATTTTGGAGGTAATTAATTAAGTGGATGGCAGATAATGGGCTGTGGTAGATTATATTGCCAGTGAAACCGATTGACTGACTGAGTGACCGACTGAATAACAAACTGACAGACTGGTTGACTGACCGGCTAACTGACTGTTTAACTGACTGACTGACTGACCGACCTACCAACTGACTTACTATCCGGCTGACCGACTGACTGACTAACTAACAGACTTACTGACAGACTGACTGACCGGCTGACTGACCGACCAACTGACTGACTAGCTGACCGACTGACTGACCGACTGGCTGACTGACTGACTGACTGACTGACTGACTGACTGACTGACTGACTGACTGACTGACTGACTGACTAACAGACTGACTGACCGACTGACCAACTGATTGACCGACTGACAGACTGACCGACTGTGACTGACTCACTGTTTCACTGACTGACCAACTGAATTACTTACTAACTGAGACACTGACCGACAAACTAAGGTAATGAATGACCGACTGGTTGACTGACTAACAGATTTGTTCATTTATTCATGCATTCGGCTTTCTTTCTTTAGCATCCATCGGAATAAAGAGAAACATATGGCAAGGAAACAATAAACGAATCAAAGGAAAAGACAAGGCAGCTAAAACTTAACAAATTAACAGACCATTTGAAACAAAATGTAGGATGTTACTTCAAATCAGTATCATACAAAAGCAAAGCTTTTAAAAAGGTTTACTTGTTATTCTGTTCTCCGCAGTTAATGCTGTAAAATGTCCCTTGTATTTTACTAGTTTACTTCAATCGAATATTATTCTTTGTTTTCAATCTAATCCTAATTAACGACATTCGAATGTTTTCAAAAGTTTATTGCGCACTACTTGTTAAAGAGGTATAAGCAGTATCAATAAAAACAGGACTTACGTAGATCCCCACCGTAGAGGAGATGTAAGGAGTAAATAAAGATCATTTATGGATCAGTAGAATCCTGAGTTTTCGTGTTAAATTGTTCTGCGCCTATGAAACGCATATGGATATTTATATACAGGTCAAAAAAAGGGACTAAAAAGTGGAAAGTTCTGGTCTGAAATAGGGTTTATGGAGAGGTGGGTGGTACATCCCTTAATTATTTAACTCCCAGAGGTGTTTAACACTCAAATTCTCCCTAAGATATCTATACATTATCCAGCAAAAATGTAATGAGAATATTCAAACTTATATTATTATTTGGTAGAAGTTGCTATCTTGATCTAACAGCAAATACTTGTAACTAATTTACAAGGAAGTGTGTAGCGGCAAGAGGTGAGAATTAACAATCAGATCTTGGGAATTTAAAGGTTAAGGAATTCGAGGATTCCTCCTCTACACGCATAAACCCAAGCCCAACTCCCTGTGCCTCGTTCCCCGTCCCCTGCCCCTAACCCTACTCACCGGGAGTGCCTGTGACAATTTAAATTACAGATGCCACCGTTATATGGAACAGGGGATCTGAGTGCCACAGATTTGTCATTTACCATGTTTTCCAGGAATAGTTCTATTAATCAAAACCTACAGGGCAACTCATTTCTTTTAAATGTCAACCTTAAGAAAAACTTGAGTAACTGGTTACAAAGATTTTTGGAGCAACGCGAATGCGTACGTGCAGGGGATGATCAGTGGCGCATCCAGAGGAATGGTGTACTTGTCTGACACCAGAAGTCCGATAATGAAAGGATCACAAATTACTTCTCAACTTGAAGTATCTAAAATTTACTTACAATAGAGCATTTTTCAATAGAGTCTTGGAAGTCATCCGGCTTTGCTTTGGTTTTACTTCACTCCACTTTGTGATTGGTCTAGAAAACACACGCCACTCTCTCAACCAATCAGATATAAATCTTAAAACAATTGCGACTCGGTCATTCATGTATTCCCGCGCTTCAAGCGGCTTACAAGTTGTCAGTTACTTTGAGTCCTCATTGGCTGATGATGATGTAATCTTTTTTCTGATTGGTCGTTGTGATAACTTTGGTTTTGGTTTTTTAATACTCAGTTTAAAACTGTTTTATTTCTTAGCTTACTTATGCTCAAGAGTAAAGAAAAATAAACCCTGTGTTTTCAGAGACAAAGTTTATACATCCCCCCCACTTCTCCATCGAAATTTCCTGGGTCCACCCTTGCGTATGTGGTTGCTAAACCCTAAGCAAACAAGAGGAACGCAGCAGAATTTTACCACTTGGTATGAGTGACAATTTAATGTGAAGCAGATTGTTTACAATATGCTAAACAGAAAATGTGTTGTAACACCATTTATATGGTAAGTGGTTTAGAGACCTCATGTGAGTTTTTAAAATCGAAAATAATAAGCACGTTGTAATAGACACGAGCCGATAAACGTTTTTTTCGAAATGAATTATTCCTCTTTTTTCGCCTCTGTTTCATAGAGTTTCCATAAGTCGTAGAGCCGTCCTTTGTTATCTAAATTCCTGAAAAATGAAATACAAGAAATTTTGAGAAAGAAAACATCTGCTTTTTAAGACAAGAAACTCCCTTCTGCCGGAAACTAGTTGGCTAGAAGAAACTGTATTTCCTTAAGTCAATGCCTGTCTCGTCTAGGTGCCGAGGCAAAACTGCTAATTTAGAAATAAAAGTCGGGGTGTAAAAGGGGATGAATGAAGCGAAAAGGAAAATTAGAGATTTTTCAGAACACGAACCTTATTTAGTACGCGTATCCTGTTGATTTACAACTTCGTTTTTAGCTTTACCAAAAAAGTTATGAGCCTTTTAAACACCGTGACTTACTGGCTTGTGTGGTTGTTTGTGTGTTTTGTCACAGTCCTTGCTGACCATCGTCAGCAAAATCTGTAACAAATTTGTCCTAACAGCCCGAAAGCACGAAGCCAGAACGTTCGCGCATGAGCAGACGTTCGACCGCTGCGTGACTTGGACCCGGCCCAGTCCTCGTGTCATAAACGATTATAATCCAGCTCACCTTCCGACTTGTAGGCTTGAAAAGTCATCGTTAAATCTGGCTTTTGTTCTCTTGTGTTTCTTGCACTTTCGAGCGGCTACTCTTTTGTTACCGAAGCTATAGTTGCATCCTCTCGCCCTGCATTCGGCAGTGAGGCTCAGTACAATTATCACAATCATCAAAAGGGAAAGTAGAATTGTTCTATTCATGATATTTCCCTGAAAAATAGAACAGATGAGACGAAAATTTAGGTTCGTAAACGTGTACTCGTCTGGTTCTGTAGATGCTCGTCTGTTGAGGCTTTGCACGCTTTGGCTTTCAGAAACTATACACTTTCTAAGAAAGCTGAGGCGTTTGCGATTGAATGTCTATAACGACCAATTATAATTATAAGAAAGGAAAACAACTTTAAGAGCCAATGAGAACTCAAAGTAAAAATAACCAAACTGCCTAAAGCGCGGGAAAACGCGGGCGACCAAGTCATGATTGGTTTTAGATTTACATCTAATTGGTCGAGTTGTGTGACTTTTTTAACCAATCACAAAGCGAAGTAAAGCAAAACCATTGCAATAGTGGATTACTTTCGACAATCAATTACAAATTGCTTTATTTTGTAAAATTTTTGTGGAGCGAAATATATTTTCTTGTCATTTTTGAGAATTCGATAACCTTGATCGTGCACGGGCTGGCCTCAATGCGGTTGAGTAGATTTAAAGATAGCACCAGCTTTCCTCTGTTATATCAGAAGCAGCATTTGTTTTGTCCAATGTAGATGTGCTCGTCAACTGAAGTTGAGATTCAGCGGATCAATATCAGTGTCTGGGCAACTGCCCACCTACCCCTCCCCTAACCTGACTGTTGTTGAGTTAGGGAAGGGATAGGTGGGCAGTTGCCCAGATACTGATATTGATCCGATTCAGCTAATATATCAAGAACACTAAACTACGAAATTTACGTCATTTCTGTCTATCTTTGACGTGTTTGAACAGCCAAGTTGATGGTTTGACTCAAGGTGTACTTCCAAGAACCGACTAAGCAAAGAGCGTGGAAGGCAGGGTGGGGTAAGCCAGAAATTGCTCCCATCAGCCACTGCACCCCTTCAGCCTGTTATTAGCACAACCAGTTGAATGAAAAATAAACCAGTCGTAAGTTTATAGATTCGCAGCTGGCGCTTTACTGAAAAATATTTGCTTAATCACAGCTTCTAAACCAGCCTAACGGATGTTTTTTTCCAAATGTTTACTCTAAACATAACGATTGCGCTACGAAAGGGGGGGGAAGGGGAGTGCTGAACAGCCTCTGGATAATTCACGAAATTCTACATTTAGAGAATTTTTCATTTTTGTCAGATCAATCCGTTTTAACTTTCTCCATTCCTAGAAATCCTGGTTCCATCTCGGTTTGTTAATTCCTCTTTTGGCTCGATCTATCTCACAGAAATAATATTTTTCAGTCTCCATCAAGTTGACACGAATTATGATGATAAGTTTCCTTCCAGTTTTGCGCCATTTCCCATGATTAGTTACAGAACTCAGCCTTCCAGCGCATATTAAAACTCAAAAAAAATTCGTCAATTGGGGTAAATGCGAGTGCAATCGTTGTTCAAAGAAATGTGAAAACCGCTCGCCACGAAAGTCTGGCTATCGAAGTTACCATGTGAAAAACCCAGGGGGAACTGATTTTGGATCGAGTAAGCCCGGGGTTCGAGGTATCGAGAGCTTGAGTATTCGAGAGTAAAATTAGATCGAATGTTTGACGTAAAGGCAAGGGAAATCGATTTCGGTTCGATTTAACGCGAAGTTCGAGTCAGCGATGGTTCGCTTTGTCCATTATGCAGTAGCTTGTCACGTGATTAGAAGACTCACAGCGAGGCAGGCAAAATCATTTTCATTATTGGGAGGGTAAACAAAAATTCATGAATCGAATTCATTTGGGCAAAAAGTTAGCTAACTCCTCATACCAACCAGGCAGAATTCAAATAACTAATTTTGAGCTGATAATGATATTAAAACAGAGACCAAACATATGAAAATAGGTGTCATTACACAAAACGGTTGCTTCCAACGTCTGTTCGCTTATTTAGGAGGAAAAAAACCGATAATTCGTGGCTAGACTGTGAATTTCTTAGCAGAATTTTGCATAAATGCTAAAAAAAAAACATACACTGACACAAATTTCTTTAAAAAAAGCGCACGAATTAAAACTAACGAGCGATGTTTTTTGGGAGTGCTCGATAAAAACTTGGGCTTATTCACCAATCGCACTTTCAGTTGTCACCTCTTAATGCCTGTTGACTCTATCCAAAACTTTTAATCGTCACCTCTATTATATAACAGGCACTGAATGTTCGGACGAAAATAATATTTTGAGAAACGGATGCTAAATTTTTTACATTGTTAAAGTTGAACAAAAGAGAAAAAACCACTGAAAAATATAAGCATATGAAGATAAGCAAAGCTTTCATGCCAGTTTATCTGTCAATTCTGGACGCCCTCATTATACGAATGAGAATTTGAAATAAGTTTAATTTTTTTTCAACGTTTTGACAAATTTCTTTTGAATATTTTGAATAAAACTATTGTAGTTCAATGTTGAGTTTTCTTTTCTGAACCGGACACTAAATCCGAAACATAGTCGAGGAAAATTAATGAAGAAAAAAATCAGAGAAAAAAACCCAGTCATGGGTTCATGTGAGTTTAACCGCAAATCCTGATCCCTCTTGTCACAAAGTACATCGATATTCTTTTTTCTTATTTGTTCTTGCTTTGAATATTTCAATGCGCGATAAAGCTTCCATAGCAAGCCAAAGCAGTGAAAAACATCTTTATACGAAAACGTATCCCGAAAGAGCTAGAATTTGAATGAATCAGTGTACGAAGATTTGTTTTTGACCTACCTTGATCCCAGATCGTTTTATACTGTCACCGGCTCGCTATCTTTTTTATGAACCAAACTCGCACACTAGAGCGCAGAGGCCTGCTTTCATTAACACTGCACTAGGCAAGTTACACGTCCTTCTTAAAAATGACAGATAGG